AAAGGATGCAAGTTCATTAGTGGTAGATTTACATACTTTGGTTTACAGGGAGAGAGGCTTTAACTAGCTTTCTCTGACAGGTCACTGGACAACAACAGACAATAAGTCACTTTGGATGTATAATCTAAGGTATAGATTTTTTGCTGCTATTTATTAAAAAAGAAAAATGTGTATTTGCCAAAAGAATATATCACTAGCTTAAATGCAGCAATCAAAACCTTCCTAAATATTTTCATTTATTATTTGTAAATATGTTATTTCTGGACTCCCATTTCTCACCGTCCACTTTTAGCAGCCATAGATCAAAACAAAACAAAACAAAACAAAAAACCACCAAAAAAGTACACCCCATTTAGTTACTTATGGCAACCTTGAAGGAATACCAATAGAAGGAAGAAATGAGGCCTATTCATTCTTATTTTTGATTCCAGCATAAAACGAACATGAAAAGGAAGACAAAATAGTGACTAAAATCCTTAGGTTTCCCTTCAACAACCAATCCATTTGCTGAAAAAGTTGAATATGAAAATCTGTTTTATAACTAAAGTTTTTTATTTTAAGAAACTAAACATTTTATACTTATTATGAAATGTATATTCAAAAAGTATATAAAGTATATCCATGCAGTCTCAAGTACACTATAAAGCAATCATTCATTTTTTGAAACCACCATCCAACTCCAAAGATAGAAGCCAGCATTGTAAAACCAGAAGAAATCCCTCTTAACTATATAGCCCCATGCCCTTCTTCAGTCGCTTGGTGTTAATGTACAATGTAGATTTCACAAATGAATTCACTAAAAATAAAATGAAATAATGTCACAGGTATTGTGAGATGGGAGTATTTAAAATTCTACAACGCATTAATAAGAGAACCTTTCTATACTTAAAATTTCCTGCAAAAAACATCAGGAGTAAGTATACTGATTCATTTAGAATATAAATTATTGAAGTGGCTGGATTTAATTTTGTGGAACACCACACAGGAGAGCCATAAAACACAGACTATTTACTCCTAGCAATTCCAACAGCTGGCAGTGAGGATGACCAATATTAAATCAAGATGCGAGAACACTAAATAACAGCCATTTCAACTCAGTGCCACCTAAATATATACCTATACACTACAAATTAACAAATTGATTTCTTCGATTTTTGCTGGGTCTGACAAAAATAATAAAAGCTTTGGCAATACTCCTCACTTCCAATCCAATTGAGGATGCTCAAATGGCAGAATGAGGACTATGGTCCTTTGCTTGTTGCACTAGATATTAGTCTATAGGTAACATCAGTGTCATGGACTCACACTAAATGACTGTTGGTTTTGACTCCTGCTCTAAAACAGTTTAGGTTACAAAATCTTTTACTCACAGAATTAATTACAGAAAGGTTTTAAGGATATGATATGAGCCTGAAACAAATTCTAAAATATTAATCTTGATATTATGATAATGTATATTTTAAATAGTAGAAATAAGAATTTTCAATGTTTTCACTGTAATGAAATGATAAATGTGGCAACAGATGTTTTATCCTTATTTAAACATATACAGTCTATACACATATTGAAACATCACAACAGTTTTCCATAAACACATACAATTTCTATGGTTTATGTATGAGTTAAAAAATAAATTTAGCAATATAAAAAATAAAAGAATTTCTAAATAAGCAATGTTTAAGAATCCTTTAGATTATCAAGCACTCCTACTCTGGAATGTAGACATGCATAACGGAAAGTAAACAGATTCCATTTATAATCTAAAACCAAGGCAAACCTCGGCACTAAAGATTCCCCTTCTCTCCACTAATGCCATCCACACATGCCTAGCACTCACTTCTCAATAATCGATGCAAACTTGGGCCATGACTTCATAAGGCTCTATATTGTTTTTTGAAACAGGAAAACAAACAAATGTATTAAACATCTAATATCATCTTTAGGTTCGCAAGCAATACAGAATAGCAAATGGTCAGAAAGAAAACACTTGAATCTCCAGATATACCTCACACAGATTTCCTCAAGCCTCTAACAATGGAATGGCTGTGTAAATGATTTATCAATCTGATAGAAGATTATGCTATATATTCTAAAGTTATAAAGTTATATAGCATAGAAGTTTTTATTTATTTAATTTAATTTATTTTCTTGGTTTTGTGAGACATCCTACTCTGTAATTCAGGCTGGCCTGAAACTTGCGGTGATCCTCCTGCTTCAGCCTCCCAAGTGCAGGGATTACAAGTATGAACCATCATGCCCAGTCAAGATTTTATAATAAAGCATAAAATATTTCTAATATACATTTATATCTTGCTATCACTATAAGACATTATACACTTGGGCAAGGACAGAACATAGTAAGAAATTAATATCTGGTATGGTTTTGGGCTCTTTCAACCCCTTGTATGATTTACAAAATAAATAAAAACTGGAAGGTCAAAAATGAGATGACTCTTCTCCCTAAAGAACTGTAAAACTATCATCGGTATCTGAATAATCACCTCATATTTATGATCTACACTAGCCACCAAAACTTGCTATATATTATCCTTTCGGGCATGCTTCTGGGCAAGGTCAGCAGGTAGAGAGGAAACAAGGTCCTTTCTGTATTCTGATTAAAGGTGGGGGTGGAAAGTGACAGATACTATAACCAAGGGCATGTTTTACTGCCACTGCAAGACATCAAATTTAGCATTATCTCTTACAATAATGAACTACCAAGTCCAATTTAAGCCCAGAAAATTATAAAAGTGTTATGTTCTGATAATTTCAGTAACCAAGAAAAGACTCTATCAATTTGATCAACTTTTCTATGCATCAGAAATGAATCTCTGTACAAGTGAGAGAGGCATTTAGATTCAAGGGTACCAGGTCATCCAATTTCCTGACACAGGGATAAGGGCATCTATTAATAGATGCCTGCTTTAAAACTCTACATAGATCAAAAGTTCAATAAGACAATCTTGAAATTATTCTGAAATTATTTACTTCAAAAATGCAGAATTAGTTTGGATTCTACTAACATGAATATAAAAATTGGCCTTAACAATGTTCTTTTGCAAAAATTAAAAAAGTCCCAAATACATACTGAAATGCAAAGGATGCAAAATATCCAAAACACACCAGAAAAAGATCCAAGTTATAAGGTGCATGACTCCTAATTTTACAACTTATTACAAAGTTATAGAAATCCAGATAGTGTGGTAGGGCCATAAGGAATGACACATATAGATCAAAGGAATAGATCTGAGAGGCCAGAAATAAACTTTCATTTTACAGTTAACTGGATTTTGCAAAAGGTGCTAATAAGACAAGTCAGTAGGGATGGAATAGTCTTTCTCACTTATGGCATTAGGACAAGCAAAATGATACTGGACCTCACCTGCCATATACAAAACTAACTCAAAATGGATATTCACATGGAACACAGACTATGTTCAAAGTTCAATAATTATCCTCTATTAGATAACCAAAATTATGAAACATTAAAGATATTTCAATTCAAAATGTTTCCATTTCAAAAATTACTTTTAGTTTCTACTGCTAGTAAACAAAACAAACAATTTAGATGACTCAAAATAAAATGAGAAGAGAAGAATCACAGTGTGTACAATTTGTAAAACAGATTATATAGTAAAGTCCTTTTCCTTGTCAGAGGGGAGACTTAGGTACCCAGTGAACAGGTATAGCTTGGTATAGCTCTTGGGGTAAGTGGTGGTTTTCCAGTTTTTTCTAAAACTAAAAATACACTTACCAAACCTTTATTTAACAATTTTACTCTTGGACATTTATCACAAAAAAGAAAAAACTTATGTTCATACAAAAGCTTATAAACAAAGTTCATAACAACTTTAGTTAAAAGAGTAAAAAAGGAAATAACCCAAATGCCTTAGATGGGCCTACTATTAAGTTATGATCTCTACATATCATGGAATATTGCTCAGTAATGAGGTTAAAAAAAATGATAGATCTGAATGAGTGTGGGATAATTGTGCTGAGTAAGAAAAGGCAATCTAAAAAGACTACACACTGTAACCCTTTGGAGAAAAGAAACGCTAGAGCTGGAGAGCCCCGTGGCTGCCAGCATCAGGAAGGGGCCCATGTGGCTACAGAGGGCAGCAAGAGAGCCATGTGGCAACAGGGTGGCTCTGTCACTTGATGCAGGGAAGTAACATGGAGCTGGGGAACGTGGGACATTATTACCCACAAATGCAAAGAAATGCACAAGAAGCCAGTGAAATAAGCACTTATGTCGATTTCCTAGTGCTGACACTGTATAACAATTATGCAAGTGATTGGCACTGGGCGAAAGTAAAAGGTAGACAAGAGTTCCCCATATGCATTCCTTTGCAGTTTCTTGTGAATCTATGATTATTTTAAAATAAAATGTTAACAAAGTGTGCTGTCATTTTTTCAAAATAGAAAATATCTATTTAATGGATGTATGGAAGTTATATTCTTGTCAATTGATTATGGCATGGTAGATGGCTACAATTCCTGTACAAAATGATTTTATAGCATATTTAAGAAGCTATATATATTTGGTGTCTTTTACCTTGGCATCTAATTTTTGGGAATCATCTAAAGAAACAATATCAAATATGGAAAGACAGGTTAGTTACAAGCATGTACACACGCAAGCGCGTGCACACACACACACACACACACACACAAAATTACTACAGTGTAATTGAGAATAGGATAAACCTGGACACAACCTAGACATCTGAACAGGAATGGTTTTTGTCATATCTAGTCATGGAATATTATGCATTCATTGATAATACCAATAATGGTATGGCAATATGATAAAAAATTACATTGTACAAAAATAAAACATATTAATTCCTAATTATCTCTACCTAAAACATGCACTGAAAAAATAGAAAATTCATATCAATAGAAGATAATTTTGTTAGCATGCAAGAATTGAGTATTTTTCTCAAACTTTATACAGATGTTGGATTATTCCATAGTTAAAGAAATAAGCATACTTTTACCTTATCCCAGAAATCAAACAAAGCTGTAAAGTCCCACTTCTTAGAATATGCCACATTGTATTTCAGAATAGCATCCTATGGAAAAAGCAGAAAGAAAACCTCATGATATAGCCATATGGATTATCCATGAGTAAGTAGCCTGTTTCTATTATGAATTACTTCCAGTAAATTTCTTAGTGCTGGCCAAGCTTCCTTCTACTATTAGCTAAGTACTCCACATCAGTAGCTACAGACAGACTACATACTAATTTACTATTCATTTAAGAAAAATGAGATTAGAAAGGTTAAATTACAGGGAAAAAACAAGAATATCCAAAACATGCATTCTAAGTGGGGTGATGTACTGAAAATTGACAAAAATTATTTTTTGGAGGATAAAAAATAACTTAGGTGATCACAATGATTTGTGGACATGGAAAGGGTTAGTGTCTATGCACTTACACAGAGAAACATGTTCTATTTGTAGTACTGAAATTTTGTGTGTGTGTATGGGTGGAGAAGAGATTAAAGGAAAATATTTTTAAAGGCTCTTGGGGAGGGGGGCAAAGAAGAAAAATTAAACACTGCTTTCAAGTACAAAATGATTTTTCCCCCTTACTATTAACTACTTTTATAAGCTCGTATGTAACTGGTTATCTTTCCCCAGCAGTTCACACAAATTATAAATTTACGTAGAATAAAAAGTCAAAATATTATGCCATCTGCTGGTGTTAACTTTCAACTGTTTGAATAAGTAATAGTATACATTTGGTTTCTGGAGTTGGGCGTGCATAAGGCAATCCCTTCATTGTGCAGGAAAAATATTTATAATTACGTCTTATGCTTTTAAATATCTATCCTAATTATATTATACTATATATAATATCAGTAAAGTAACAAATATGTAGAATATAAAAATATGTTGGTAATATAAACTCAAAACTTTTTGTAGGAAACACACAGTATGAAAGCCAATGGAATATTACAATAAGCCTTTCAAATTTCTTTTGCAATAAAGACGGTTTTAAAAAATTAACATTCTGACAAACAACTTCCTGAATACTCATGCCAAACAGATCACTAGGTTAAAACTCAAGCCCACAAATGTATCTCATTCACCTAGAACCAGGCACTATCTAATTTCCTTCAGAAAAGTAAACATTAACCATAACGGGATGAAATGCTTTTTCACTCACAAGCCATAAAATAAAATTTAAGAATTAAAAGGTTTTAAGAATTGTTTTTCTAATCACTGGTCTCTGATTTCAAAACTGATATTATTTTAAAATAGCAAATAATAAAACTATAATGTAACAAATAGCATTGTGTACAAGCAGATGAACAGATAAGGAATGTACACACTGGAGTAAACAACTGATATACTGAAGGACATATGAGTCTCAAAAATCTGAGCCAAAGAAGCCAGACATTATAGTACACATACTGAGACTTCACCAATGTAAACTATGAACTAATCTACTGTGAAAGAGAGCAGATCAGTAATTGAGAGATGAGAGGAATCTCTGAGGGTGACAGAAACGTTTTATACCTTGACTATGATGGGGGCCTTTACCAATGGTTCCAAAATGTCAAAACTGATCAAATCACACACTTTGAAAGCACACACTTTCTTACAAATTATTCCTCAAAGCTGATGAATAAAAAAATATGATATCACATTTACATTCTAAGTGCTTAATGGCAATTTATACTTACTATTAACCCCTAATAGCTGTCCCACTCTATCTGTGGAGGATGGGTTCACGCTCGTCCCCAACCCTAAGGATACCAAGGCTGCTCAAGTCCCTGATGTAAGATGGGAAAGCATTTGTGTATAAACATCCTCTCATATACATTAAATTCTCTTTAGATTACTTACAATAGCTACTTCAATTCAAACACTATGTAAATAGTTGTTATATTGTGTTGTTTAATGGTTAACGACAAGAAGACAAGTCTATGTTTAGCTATATACAGCCACAATTTTTTCCCTTCAAATATTTTTGAATCACTCTTAGTTGAATCCATAGATGAGGAACCTGTAGAGGATTGACTGTATTAATTTTTACTTCATTCTTCAAATCTCAAAAGTAGTCCACCATGAGGTCCCCTGCCATTAGAATGAAAGGATGTTTCTTTGTATTCTTAGCTATTAACTATGGAAATTCTTTTTATTTCATAACGCATAATAAAAACAAAGTCCTTTGTGTATAAATTATCAAAACATTTTTACAGAAATGCTACTTTTGAAAACACCATTCCTTCTTAGAACTTTGAACTTTTAGAACATTAGAACTATTTAGAACTTTGAACCTCTTGGATCCTCCTAAATCCAACATCAACTGGCATAAAAACAGAAAAAAGATCATTATTTTCAATCAGAGATTTAATATATTTCCCTTCTCTCATAGCATTCTTTCAGCAGAGGAAACAATTATCATAAGCAGATAGAAGAAAATTTCGATGGGACTATTCTGTTTAGTTTCATCTACCATAAGATAAATAAGAAAGGGAAATTCACTTTAATGCAATTATTGCTTCCTAAAATAATCATGGCATACTAAGGGATTGCTAGACATGACTAGACTGCATAATTTGAATGCTGTGATTACTTTGTGCTTATGTTTAAAGAAAAAATATGAATAATTTAAAAAACAGCCAGTTTAGAAGATCATAAGACTGTTTCTCAAATGGATCTAGACAGTATTCTAGCCTGGCCTGCTTCATGTTTCTGAATATGAAGTTTTGTTTTTAGAAAACAAATGAAACACATAGGAATGAAGATAATAATTTATGCACGTAAAAATGGTGGAAATATTAAGGTATCTTAGGATACACCCCAGTATAAATAATGTTACATTCTAAAGAATCTGCATTAAAGTGGTCACTACCATTATTTATTGGCAAGCTGATGATCTCCACAGACAGCCCATCTATGCACATACCAACAGTTCATGATTCTGAGAGGAGTAAATACAAACTAAGCAGTTTTTCTTATATGGTATTTTTTCCCTTTCTTTTCTTTTTGGTGATGGGGATTGAACTGCCTTCTGCTCTATAAACAAGCACTTTCACCTAGATACATCCTCAGCCCTTTTATACAGTTATTTAAAAAGTTTTTTTTTCTGCATACCATTTTGGGGGTTAGAGCAGTTTACATTCTGATCATAAGCAAATCAAATGATGGTCCATCATGCTTAAAATGGAAAAATATCAAATTGATAAACCTGTATAATACTATGAGCATAGGAGCTTACATTTAGTTTTATATCTGTACATATGTAACTAATATTATATTAAAATAAGTAAACTCTGGTTGACCATGTTTTACATGTAGAGAGAAATATTTGCAATGAATGAACTTTTAAAAATACATTATTATACAACATACAGTTTTCAAATAAAAAAAGAAAAAAAAATCAAGCTACTGAAAGGTATAGAAAGTATAAAAGTAAGTTTCAAATGCAAGAGGGAAATATAAAACCAGAGAAAATGTCCATAACAAATTATACCACTGAAAGAAAAATGAAACTCATTTTCATGGAAAATTATGTCACTGTTTATACTTTTGTTAAAAATTTCTATAGTTACAGTATTCGCCCCACCAAATATATCTACTCATGCATGTTTTATATACCACAAAATAACTTAATAGTTGCTCTTATGGTCTTAAATGAAATACAAAAAAAGTAAAAAAATAGATGACTGCCAATGTATATTAAGATTAATAAATAAATTATTAAATTGCTAGAAGCTATATTAAAAGCAATAAAAAACAGAATATTTAATGTATACTTTAATCATTAGCAAATCCTGCTTTCCTTTAGGCACATATAGCTGGAGTCATAATTCTTTCCTGATTTTCTTTTAAAGCCATTTCAGAAAGATGGTAATTTTTAAACAAAAAAATAAGAGAAGCTTAGACTGAAGGAAATTGGACAGGGAATCAAGAAACAGAGCTCTTATTCCTAGCTCTCCAAATTATTCTGTGTGGCTCCAGGCTAGTCATTTACAATTGTCAGTTCTATTCATTTGCTAGTGATGGAGTAGAAACTAAGACTGTCAAAATGTCTCTAAGGAGCCTTTCTTTTTTCTTTTCCTTCCCTTCCCTCCCCTCCCCGCCCCTCTCTAAATTGCTTAGGTTGGGCTGACTTGCCATCTTCCTGCCTCAGCCTCCTAGTGTATCTAAGGAGCCTATATTTTGCATATAAAGAAATCTGTTGTTTGAGTCTGACCAGATAATGTCCCTGAGGAACAAAACAGAAGGCCCAACTCTAAGAGTTATATATGAGGCAAGAATAGCAAAAAGAACATACCTTCAGGTTTTGGGGTCGTATGAATTTGTTGAGAAGTGCAGTCTGAATAAGCTCCCACCGGCTCCCTGCAGTTCGCTCACCATTCTTTCAGAAAAATAAAAACATGATCAAACTATTCTATAGATTTTTTTTTTTTCAGTATTGGGGATCAAACTCAGGACCTTGTGCTTGTGAGGCACACATGGTGCCAGTGAACTAAATCCCTGGCCCTAAAAGGGACAGTAGATCATCATCATCATCATTATCCCCTACCCCCCACCCTAGTAATGGGGATCACACTTAGGACCTTGCGCTTGCCAACATCCCCAGCCCCTATTCTAAATTATTCTTTATCAGAAGACAGAGTACTACATCAAGTTTTAAGGACTAAAAAAACCTCAGCTTTGTCCTCACCTCATCTTCCACAGGGTATAAGTTTTGTTCAGAGCAAGGCATTTTGACATGCTTGTTATCCCACAGATCTTTGTAATGTGTAGGAAAAGGTTTAGGAACTTCTCCTGCTCGCAAAAGATCTACCTGAAATAGAGGGTAAATAGGAAAATTGTAAGTGCATAAATACTGTGTGTTTCTTCTATAAAATAATCTTAAGAAAGGAGCCAAGTAGATGCTATAAAATGGAGCTTGGCTTCCAAGCAAGGCACCTCTGGAGTCTTCTTTAGCTGCTGCTGCTATTCCTCACGTCCAGTCAGTTTCCAAGTCACCATGTCCTAGGTATTTCCATCCTTCTAGGGGCTGGGCCCTTACATTCTGTGCTTGAGTTTCTGCTGACAGTTGATAGTCTTCTATCTATCTACCTAACTCCAGATGTTCCCAGTCATGTTCATTGCCCATAAAACCCTTACTCCACTTTGGAGATAACATTATCTCTTAAAAGTATTCCCTCCCAGTCCTGTCATTATGTAATGCCTATGCTCTGATTGCTAATGTCATTTTGCTTTGCATGTCTTAATCATTTTTTTGACACTGGAACAAAATACCTGACACTCAAATCTTTCATTTTTGCTCATGATTTTATTGCATTGTTGTCTGGCTCCAAGACAGAAAAGACATGGCACAGGGGCAGAATGGAGGAAAGCCACTTAATTCCTGGCTCCCAGGGAGCAGATAGCACAGAAAACAGCTGGGGAAGGAGATATATCCTTCTAGGTCATGCCCCTGGTGACCAACCTCCAAACAGACTCAACAGCAAGCCATAATCCAATCGCCTTCCAACACACGAGACATGGGGGAAACATTTAAAATATAAACCATAATATATATTCTTACTCTGATTTCATTTTGGACAAGCCAACATTTATTTCCTTAAACATAGCAAATTTACTTTCATTTGTATATGCCTATGTACCACATAGTAATACAAGTGATTCCAATCACCACCTTCCCATTTAATGTGGTTAAACCTCTTTCACTTTAAGAGCCAAGCTAAATTTTTATTTCCACTATGAAATCTTTTAGAAATTTACAAACAGGCATTTTATTAAGTCATTATCATACAGGAGCATACTTCCCTCACAAGACCCAATTTTCTTCATGGTAATAAGCACATTTTGTATCAGAACACTGTATTTAAGGCAGTACCTGGAATATATTTACATATGTACATAAGTATACACATATGCAAACATGCATAGCTACTGTAGTAATCATTACATAAATGTTTGAGGAAGGAGGTATCTTAAGTTTTATTTTGCCTATTCCAGATATTTCATGCAAATGGAATAACACAATATTTGGCTTTTTGTGCGAAGCACAATCACACAGTATTTTCAAGGTTTTTCCATGAGGAAGTATATATCGGCATTTCACTGTAGAGAATTAATCATAGGAATTAATGTGAATATTGAATTAAACACAGTATGCCATAAATGAGAGGTTCATAGCGCTAAAATAATCTGTACTAGATAGATTTTTTAACTTATCTGGTGAGTCGAGGGGACTTCCATGAGAAACCAACAATTGAGCTGAGCCCTCAACAGTAAAAACCAAACCAGGAAAATTAGGAAAGATTCTTGCTGCTATAGTTTGGATCTTGAGTTTCCCTGATGGCTCATGTGTTACAGGCTTGATCCTCCCTTAGGTGCTACCAGAGGCAATGAAACCTTTAGGCTCCATAGGGCCCAGGTCACTGGAGCTGTGCCCTTGAATGTGACATTGAGGCCCTGGATGCTTTTTCTGTTTCTGGGCTCACAGGAGATGTACAGATCTCCTCAGCCACATGCTTCTGTCTTCATGTACTGTGCAGTCACAGCCTATAGCAATGGGCTGAGCAACCTTACAATAAAATCCTGAAACCGTGAGCCAAAATAAATATTCCTCCTGGTAAGCTGATTATCTCAGATATCATGTCACAGTGATAGAACACTAACTAAAAAAAATTGGTACCAAGTAGTCATTTGTTATCACTATACATGATGATGTAGTTCAGAAGCTTTTAGAATTGCTTGGCAGAAGGAATTGGAGGAGTGTGAAGAAGGGGGTTACAGAATGTCTGGAGCTTAGTGGGTGAATCTGGTGGGGATGGACACTGTCAGGCTAATAGGAATACAGACAATAAAGCTGTGCTGATGATGTGTCAGATGGAAATAATGACTCTGTTGAGAAATGGACTAGAACCCACTCGTGTTACATTCTGACAAGGACCAGGTCTACATTTTTTTCCATGCTTTAAGACTTTCTGTAAAGCTGAGAATAAAAATGATGGACTAGTTTATCTCATGGAGGGAATTTCAAAGCAACACAGCACTGAGGCAGTGGCATTCATATTGGTGGGTGCTTTCAGCAAGATTTACAATGAGAACCAGGAGCAAAGTAGAATAGAAACATATGAAAAACTTGCAATTCAGCCAGAAAAGAAGAGCTTGTAAAGTTTTGGACAATGAGGATGCAGTTACTAAAGACACTATCAATAAAAAGAAGCCAAGTACTTTGTACCTGGACAAGAAAGATGCCTTCTGGGCTTCTCAAGAATTGGCAAGACTTCACCCATCACAGGTATTTGTTTTGTGAACTTTCCAGACCACAGTCTTTGGAGATGAGACCTCTGGAGTACTTTCCTTAAATTGAGCCTTCCAGGGAATTGTTTCCCTGGGATTCACTTCCCAGTGTTAAGTCAGAGACTGCCACCACTGCTCAAAGAGTGAAGAGGTCATAGAGGTTTCCATCCTGATTTCAAAGGAAATCCTGGGAGATAAGACAGTATGTAGCAGGGTCAAAGTACCTACAAGTTTCTCTTGACCAGCAATGTGTAAACCTATAAAAGTGAAGTCAAAGCTGCAAGTGGAGACTCCAAGAAGTCAGAGATACCAGGAAAATGAACTACTTACCTGTATGGTGAGATGGTCTCTTACTATGGCTCCCAGGCTGGTCTTAAATGCTTGCACTTAAGCAATTCTCTGGCCTGAGCCTGTTGTGTAGATAGGGCTACCGGTACCCAGCTTAAACTGTTGGTCTGATATTTAAAGAAACTCTCCTGTTAGCAATGGTCAAGAATGGACCCAAATCACTTTTCAAGTCTTTTCTTCCACCATTCCACATCTAAATTCTAAGCTCTAACAGACCAACTGTTTTTCATTTCTAAAACAAATCGTTTCTAACACTTAACATTTTCTTTCAAGCTTATCTATCTGTCTTGAATTCTCTTGTGTTACTCCTGAGACTGAAACTTAAGCTCATCTTTCAGAGTTCAGTATAAACACAACAACCCTGGTAAATATCATCACTAAACATGTTATATAGAACTGTGAAATATCATATTAAATGGTCAAAAACTAAAAGTTGTCACTCTGAAATCAGGAACAAGACAAGGATGCCCACTGTCACTGCTCCAGTTCAACACAGTTCTGCAAACATTAGCCATAGCAATTAGACAAGAGAAAGAATAAAAAATAGGAAGAAGTTAAATTAACATTATTTGCTAATGACATGACATTCTACATAGAAGACCCCCCTCCTAGATTTAGTAACTAAATCCAGCAGCATAGCAGGATACAAAGTCAACACTCAAAAATCAATAGCATGACTGTATACAAATAATAAACTCACTGAGAAATTCAGGAAACAATAGGAACTTTTTACAATAGCATTAAGAAAAATGAAACAGGAATGAATCTACTGAAGTGAAAGGCTTTCACATTGAAAACTATTATACTCTGAAAAGGAGACTGAAGAGGATGACAAAAAAATGGAAAGATATCTTTTGTTCTTGGATAGGCCAAACCAACATAGTGAAAATGGCTATACTTCCAAAACTGATAGACAGGTTTAATGCAATCCCATCCCCCACAAAAAAAAAAAAAAAAAAAAAAAAAAATCCTAAAATTCATATGGAATCAGTAGAGACCTAGAATAGCAAAAGCAATTCTGAGCAACAAGGGCATGGCAAAGGGTATTACAAACCCTGACTTGAAGTTTATAATAGAAAGCAACTGTGATTACTGTGATTAAAAACAGCATGGGACTGGCCAAAAAACCCAGCCAACCAACCAACCAACCAACCAACATAAAAAAAAAACCAAAAAACAAAAAACGCAAAAACAGACTTGGGCATCAGTGGAACAGAGTAGAAGATAGCATAAACAATTCCAAGTGGATCAGCTACCTTATAACTGACAAGCGGGCCAAAGACCTTCAGTTCAAGTAAGATAGCCTGTTTAATAAATGGTGGATGGAAAACTGTCTTTGAACATTCTGAAGAGTAATCCTAGACCTGCATCTCTCACCATCCACTAAACTAAAATTGATATAGATCAAAGATCTAAATATTAAAACAGAAACAATCTGTAAGGAGATAGAATTTAGGTAAAACCTAAAGACACAGGTGTAGGCAAAGACTTTATGAACAAAAACCCTGATCACACAGGAAATACTACAAAGAATCAACAACTAAGATCACATCAAATTAAGCACAACCAAAGAAATCACCAACAGAGTGAAGAGACAACCCATAGAGTGGGAAAAGTTCTTTGCCAGGTACTCTTCAGTCAAAGAACTAATATCTAGAATATACAAAGAACTTAAAAAAAAAATCACGCCCCCAAATTTAAAGACCCAATGAAAAAATGGGAATCCGAAATGAATAGACACTTCTTAGATGAAAGTACAAACAGCAAATAATATATGAAAAAAATTTCAACATTACTGGTCATCTGTGAAATGCAAATGAAAACAACACTGGGATTCCATCTCACTCCAAAAGAATAGCTATCATCACAAAATCAACCAGTAACAACTGCTGGTGAGGCTGTGGGGAAAAAGGAACTCTTCTCCATGGCTGGTGGGAGTGTAAATTGGTATAACCACTATGGAAATAAGTATAGAGTTTCCTCAAAGAACTAAAACTAGAGTTTCCATTTGATCCAGGTATTTCCCTTCTTAGTATCTTCACGAAAGTGTTAAAAGCATCATAGTGATATATGCATTCTCATGTTTATAGCAGCCCAGTTTTTTGTTTTCTGGGTACTGGGGATTGAATTCAGGACCTTGTGCTGCAAGGCAGGCGCAGCACCACTGGGCTAAATCCCCAGCCACAACAGTTTTATAATAGCTAAATCTTGGAAACAGCCCATATACCCATCAATGAATGAATGGATAAAGAAAATGTGGTATATATACAATGGAGTACTACTCTGCTAAAAAGGATAAACTTGAGCCATTTTTAGCTAAAAGGATCCACCCTGAGACCATAATTTTAAGTGCAATAAACTGGACAAACAAGTTTAAACATTGCATTTTTTTCTCTTGTGTGAGAAACCCAAAGAGTAAATAAGGAGCAAAATGCAAGACAGATATTGGCAAATAAGAATATGTTTAAATGGGAAAGGGAAGAGAAAGAATGGAAAAGGGATTAGAAAAAAAGAGAATGAGAGGAAAAAAAATCTAAATAAAACTTCTGTAAATGGGGAGGAGATGAAGGGTGGCAGGGAAGGGAACAGGAAAAAAAGAATTAAGATATATTATGTACAGGTACAAATTTCCTGTGATTTATGTGGTTATTATGCATGGCAAACATGTACTAATAAAAACTGAATTTCAGAATATTTAATTATATCTAAACCTAAGTTTACTACAAAAGGTATCATAAATCAGTTTTTCTAAGTAGTGTTTATAGTGTGAAATCTAGAGAGACTACAAACGAGATGAATATTCAAACCTGCTCAGTGAGTGAATGGAAACCTGAGGCGTGGCTATGTTAATGTCCACATAGTTCTTAAGTCTCACCAAACTGAGCACTTATAATATATGAACTTTATATACCTCAGTAAAATTGGTTTAAAGTAAACAAGACCCTCATATGAAAGGAGTTACTTGGGAGCTGGGGGGTGCAAGGCCTCAGATGCTATGGCCTAACAGATACAAAGTTTGTTTGGAAAGATAAAAATGCTTTGGAAATGGACAGTGGGTGATGGTTGTACAATGCTGTTTTTTTGTTTTGTTTGTTTTTAAGGCAGGGTCTCACTACGTAGTTGAGAATAACCTGGAACTCACTATGTAGCCCAGGCTGGTCTCGAACTCACAGCAATCCTCCTGTCTCAGCCTCCCGAATGCTGGGATTACAGGTGTGCACCACCAAGCCCAGCTCACAACATTGTGAATATTATTTAATGTCACTGAATTGTACGCTTTAAAAGGTTAAAATGTTAAATCTTATGCTCTGCATATTTTACTACAAATTTTAAAATGTAAGATTGGTTTATGACATATGGAGTTTGAGATACCTGTGAGGTAGTCATACAGGTGCACAGAAGAATCTGAAGCTCTGAAAAATGGGCAAAGCTGGAAAATGTACTGAACCATATAGAATTTCGCATTTGCAAACATGTAGTGGGTACTCATAAATACTGTCAACTGAATTTTTTTTTTTTTAATTTCGTATTGTGGATTGAAATAGGGCCTTTGCACTGAGCTACATCACCATCCCTGTTTCAATTTTTAAGATGAGGTCTTGTCAAGTCAATAAATAAAGTTATCCAAGCTGGGCTTGATCTTTCTGTGTCAGCCTCCCAGAGTGCTGGGATAGATGTGTACTACCATGCCAGCTTGTCAAATGAATCTAAAAGGGTGGGATGGGGGGAAGAACCCAATGAGGTTTCTTAAAAATACTGAAAAATACAATTTCATCATTAGCTGACAATGATTCATCTTGCTGATTTAAAGGCCACATTAAGTAAAAAATCATTTAACTCTGTGTTGTACACTTCTGAGTACTATATATGCCTCAGTCTGCTTTTCACATTAATAAATATTAATTAATAAATAAATCAGGATCTTCAGTCTTCTCTGCTCCTGAGCAAGAGGTGAAACCCACCCGAATAGTCACTGTGTGATTGGCAGATGGTCTCAAGAGAGGCAGCCGACTCCCACACCAAGGCATCCTTCGCATTTCCTCCAGAGGAGTTCCCAGCCACTTCTTGTCTGGAGAAAGGTGAGGTGGAATGTACTTAGGCATCTTCCTTTCTGTTCTTTGATGTCTGATTTCACACTGTTCTTTTCTAAGGTCAAGATAAATGTATTCAGTGACAAATTTATTGCTTCAGTTCATTTGGACACACAAGTACAAAACTTAAACCCAGAATGATCCTATTTAAAGTGTGCCAACCTTGCTGCCTCATTTGTTTTACATTTACAATCAATACGAAAACTTATAAAGCTTACAATAAAAACCAAGGGCTCATTTTCTGTGGTGGGAATTTCGAAGTACACATAAATCACTTCCTGAAAACAGAAATGAGCCACAGGTCATGCTCTACATTTAGATGTCCACCAAGAGCCTCATGTACCAGAGGAGCGGGCACTTTTGAAAGGTGACTGAATTATGGGTGTGCGACAGTTGACTTGCTATTAGGAGGCACGACCTGGTTAGAGGTTGGTCACTAGAGATATGACTGGAAGTGTGTACCTCCCTCTCAGCTCTGCTCCTCTCTGTTCCCTACCACCATGACATGAGCAGGCCCATCTACCATGCCATCTTCTACATTTGAGCCTGCCACATATAGGGCTGAAACTTCTGAAACATGAGCCAAAATGAACCTCCTACTTTACATTCCAAGTGTCAAGTACTTTGTCATAGCAATGAGAAGGTAACTAAGACATTGGTTAGTATCACCTACTTCTCAGGTCTCAGTACTGTTAATCTTCAATGAAATGAACTTAGGATCCCATGCTAGGGAAATGAGATGAGAGAGATTATCAAATGGGCTTTACGATTCTATATGGGGTAATAGCAAAAATATAAGCTTTGTCATCAGCTATATATTGCATTTAAATATCAGTATTGGCAGACACAAGTTACATGATTGCAATGTATTTTCTAATTCAAATTTCAGCTTCTCATTTACAAGTACAATACCACTTGTCTACCTGTTAAGAGAATCAGAGAAAGTGTAATATACACTTGTTCAGGAAATGGCCCAACAGTAGCTACTATGAAGTCAATATTCTCATGTTCTGGAGTTATCCATAAATTCTGTAAGTTCATGAAACTAAAGATCTGATTGCCAATATTCATTACTCCTTATTTTGTGTTTCTGGACTTCTGAGAATTTAAACTTTGGTGTGTAGGCTTAAATTTAGCCTACATGTTAAAGGAAGTCAATTGATTTTACCGTTAAGGCCTAACTTTGTTAAGCCTCCTGTATAAAGTTTTAAAATACATTATGCTCCCAAAGAGATACTCCTGAAGGGACAAGATTACCTTCTGTCCTCTGATTTAGGTATTCTCACGAAGTGGTCAGTGATCTTGGAGTCCCTTTTTACATGCTGCTTAGAATTTCTGCATTCTACATTAAGTGTAGAAGTACTTCCAGGTGGTCTGGCATTTAAATCATTTACCCCCGTGCTCCTCTCCCCTCCTTCAAATTGAAAATGTAATCTAATTTCGCCCCCTTTAGCAGAATACTGCTTCTTAAGTTCACTGTCAGCTTCATTCGCTTGCAACCTTGAAGGTTTGTTGGCTACTTGGGAGGAACTACCATCTTCTTGTTCATCAAAACCTGGACTTGTCTCTTCATCTGCTTCTGAATCTTGACAACTATTTTTGGAATTATCTACATCCATTGGTGACTCGGGTTCACTTTCCTTCTCAAATGGAGAATTTCCTAGGCTATTTTCTTGTCTACTCAATTTGTTGTCAGTTTTTGGTTCAGTTCCAACATCCTCACAGGTAACATCTGACAATGGGCTCTCTGGTACCACGTCTATCTCCTCCTGCTCACAACCTGCAAAGTCTTCCCCAGAGTGGCAGGATGTGCAGTCCTTCTGGTGACTTCTGGCTTCTCTGGCCTGTTCATCTGTTGTCTGCTTCACATTTGCAAGCTTTTCAGGTGTCAGGAATTGTTGATTATCTCTGCTTTCTTTGCTGTCTCTGTCACTGTGATGATCACTGTGGGGGGACTGCTCGATGTTGGCATTACTGAACTGCTCTGGCACCAGAGTCACCGTTGCAGGTTCACTTTCTGAAAGCTGCTCTGTATGTTTTCCTTCTTTCTGCCACTTACACATCACTGTAGTCTGATGCTGATTCAAATACTGTGTCCTTTTCTCAACAGGTGACTTATCAAGACTTAGTTGAGAAACACTTTCTAATTTTTCCACATTATGTTGGTAAAAGTTATCTTTCTGTATAGAACTCATCATGGATTCTATCCTTGTATTATTGTTTTCTTTACTATGCAAACTGCAAGAGAACAGAAAGAACTGAAAACAACTTATAATAAATAAAATGTCACTTAATGGATGACACCTCTACAAATAACACAGCAATAATTATATTCTTTGTTGTTACCCAAGGACACAGAGTGCTCTTCCCTTATTCCTTGTCTTTGCACATGACCATCCCCAGCTATGTACCTGGAAATTACCTGCGTTTCCTTTAAATCTCAAACTCTACTCACTTCCTTAAGAGCTCTCCTTGGGCCCAAAAGCAAAGTTCATCTTTTTGTTCTTCTATGTATATGCTAAACGCCAGTCATACCTTTACTGCCTCAACCCTTTATTGCAGCATTTATCAAACCAGGCGGTTTGATTGTTAATTGTATGTCTCTATGTTTTTATGTACTATTACAATGTAAGTAGCTTAAACTCAGGGCTATTTTTTTGATCTCTGTACCTGAAGCATAAAGCAGGGTCTCTGCTCATAGGAAATTTCATATAAAGTATTTAAATTGATAATGAACAAATATAGATGAAGAAAAATAAAAAAGCAAGAAGAAATAGAGAAAATACCCCAGAGCAAGATAAAGTAATTCCTCATTAGTTTCTTTGTATGTGTATGTCTCTATACCTTTCTGATTCAGCTGCCTTGATTTCCTTGGTGTCCATCCAATTGGTAATAGCCTTTTGCTTGAAAACTGTATAAAAAAATTAATCAATTAATGTATATACATAACATTCATTCAACTAGAAAACACATATAGTCATGTAATACACATAAGGCACTTTGTTAATTTCTGTGTATTAAATGTGGATTAATTACTCCTTCTACCCTCAAGTACTGAGCAAAGATAAGAACAAAAATGCTAATTTGGATGAAATCAGATCAGAACATGTAGATTCAAGTCTATTGCTTGCTTTTATTTTTTTGGAGACAGTTTCCTGCTACATAGTTCAGGCTGGTCTTGAACTTATTATGGGCCCCACCCGGGCTGTCCTAGAACTTGCAGCAATCCTCCTGCCTCAGCCTCTTGAGTGCAGGGATTACAGGTGTGTGCTACAATGCCTGGACAAATCTATATCTTCTTATGTGACTTGGAGAAGGGTTATTTCTATTTGTTTCAGATTCCCTATCTGGAACATATGCAAATTAACAGTATTTTCTAAGGGACTAATAGGAGGTTTAGAATAAACTAATAATGATCTACGTAAAATGTTCAGGACACCATCCAACATATGCTTGCTACTGTAAATGTTAGTTCTGAATTATCTTTATTATTAAAAGAGGTCCGAATAAGAAATTCAGGTATTTTCCAGGAAAATATGACCTTCAGACATAAGATTAAGTGAGGACACTTGCTAAGATTTCTTGGAAAATGCAATGTTTGAACTGTGCCTTAAGAAATAAACATGTAGTCATATACAGGGAAAACCATAAACAAAGGCACTAACAGGAGATAAATATAAAGAACTTTGAAAGAAAGCAATAGGAAATAAGAGTTGAAAAGTCAGTCAGGAACATGTCACAGAAGACCCTGAATGAACCATGAAGAAGCACAAGTCACATAGAGAGCAGTGACGCCAGAATTCAATCTAGGAAGCTCACAGCCACACCTGACAAATTGGCTTGGACAAATGCTACAGGCAAAAGCCAATGAGAAAGCTACTGGTCTCCAGCTATCCAGGTCATCACGAGGTTAGCAACAAATGGGAGGTAGGGCAACAGCCCAGACCTACTGAATCAGAATCTGTACGACATTGTGGTGAGGATGCATATTTGTTTCAAAAGTGATTTTAATAATGAACTAAATTGAAAAACTACTGGCCAAGGACCAAACAAATTCTTTTGAGAGTAGTAAAAACTATAGACTTCATGATGACGGGAAGTTAAAGATGATACTAAGCTTTAAAGTTCAACAGACTTGAAAGACCAAGGCAGCGTGAAGTAGAAATACAGAATTGAATGTAGGGGAAAAATATGATTAGGTCAATTCTGCACATAATAAATTTGCGATGACAGAGATAACTAGATAGAAATGATCAACATTCAGTAGCAAAAGCAGAACTCAATAGTTCAGGAGTGGGAGATGCAATATAAATGCAAGTTATTTTATATAATCATTAGAAATGAGTTGTCAAAACTTAATATACTGGGCATGGATTAAATATCTAACGTTTTAGTATAAAAAACAAAATCTTAAAGCATTCTCTGCCACTATCTAAATTGCAATGCAAGAACCTAGGCACCTTAAGTCAGACTCATATCTCTCTGTGTGTCCTGAAATGTTGTAATATGAGCTGAACAGTTGCAGGCTCAAACCATGAAATTAACAGTTTACCTATTACTGGGATAATGGCACAAGTGAAAAGCATTTCAGATTTGGATAGACTTTTATACTCAAGTACACTACACTTGGGTGTCATAAAATTTATAGTTTCTATAAAAGAATTTAACTTATACTTTCCACAGAACACTAATAGCCCAACTAGAAAAATCTTTGACTGGTATTCTTTATATTGTTTCAATCACAAGAAATAATTATATACAGATGCTATTTCTCATTGTTAAGCACCACTAATTTAGTGATTTGATTTTGTATTTTTATAGCAAGTCAGCTGTCAATGAAAGCACTATCTATAATCAGCAGGGACTAAGAGGATAAAACATTTGATTCTGAGACTTTTCTCCAGTTCCATTTATCCTATTTAATTTCATTCTATAGGTCGAGCATCTCTGACATGAAAATCCAAAATGCCCTGAAATCCAAAACTTTTTGAGCACTGGCACTGATTTTGGAGCATTTCCCATTTTCAGATGAGGGATGCTCAACAAATAAAGTCTGCACAAATAATCCAAAATCTCAAAAACTTTGAAATTCGAGTCCCAGCATTTCAGATAAGGTACACTCAATATCAAACATAGCTAATCTAATCCAGAAAAACCCCAAATCACAAACCAGCAATGCGTCCTAATACTCATTTTGAGTCAGTTAAGACTTAAAACACCTTTTCCCATGAGGACTAATGGTCAGGATGCAATGGCTAGGTTTCTCTAATACACATGAAGCACAGTTCTTCAAAGCTAAGTCCATATAACGTAACATCTACATGTTTGATTTTACGAACAACCATGTCCAGTGAAAGTGAAGAAGGCTCCTTCCTGTAGTCCTGAAATGAAAAAAACATGTTCACTCATGGTCTGCAAGCTGCTGATTATGATATCTGAAGCCCTAGTACAGGATGAAGAGAAAAAGTAAAAGGGGAGCAACCAATATTTCCTGTTAATCAAATATCTTAGTTCTTGTTTGGGCCCCAGTGAAAGGACTGCTCTACTTCTTTTTCCAATACCACTACTACTGGTTTGCAAAGTTTTCTAACACATAACAGGACTGTTCCAGATCTTTAGCCTTCTTTCTCCTGAAGTAAGCGTAAAATGATACTCTCCAGGCTTCTAAGGATTTTCTTAACTAGAAATAATGACAGCAAAGGGAGATAAAAAGAAATAATGAAAACAATACATGATGCAGAGCCAAACAATCATGCAGTGAGACCTCTGCTTAGTCAGTGTCAGTACCTTAGTCAAGTTACTTCACTTCTGTGAGCCTGTTTCCTCACCCAGAAATAGGGCTAATAACATGCACTCTCACAAGGGTTATATGGATCAGTTAAGAATATAAAAATGTGAGAATATTAAGTGCTCAGTCTCATAAAGCAGACACTCAACAAGTATTTCAACACTTCTATCTAATTTCTTTTCACTGAGATCAGTAGTTCTCCCACTTTATTCTGACTTCATACCATTCACACTTATCAGAGCCATCACTTAATAACCAGTGTATTTCAATGAGACCATTCAGGCAGGAAATAGAGATATAGGCAAAAGGCACAAACGTACTAAAACTGCCCGCATTTCCAAAGAAGACTTTATTTCTACAAAGTCCCTATAGCAACATAATTGGATAAGTCATTCCTCATCAGAATGCCAACAGCATCCTGAGTTCTGCCTACTATGTGCAGATTTCAGTCAATGTAAGAAATGTGCCCAGGAAGACAAATAATACAAATTTTAAGGACGCTGAGTACCTATTTTTCTACATCATCCACTTCTTCCAGGATAACTATATTTAAAAATTGTAAACACCAAGTTCCTAAAAGAATTCTAAAACTTGAAATGATTTAACTTTGAACATTATGTAACTGGTGTCCAGTGTCAGGTATACAGAAAGCATTGCACATATGAAATGTCCATTTGGTTCTTCTACAGAAAAATGAAGACCAACTAACGAGGAGTGAGTGCCTAATCCTTGCCAGCAAGTACATATACTACTCCATAATATCTGATAAAATTTATAATGTGAATTTGTAGTGCTACTACTTCAGCCTTTTATAATATTAACCAAATGATATTCCTTGGTTTAAAGCCTTTTTTGCAGCCCCTCCCCATTAGCTGAAGAATAAAGTTTAATCACCTTAATTGGCACTGGAATTTTTCCACAAATAAGCTCATCTTACCATCCTGCCATCCTATGTTTCAATTCCACCAACTTCCTGGTGTGCTATTCCCTCTGCTGACATAATTCTCTCTCCTCATTTATATAGCAAATCCTGCTCACCTGTCAAAACTTAGTTCAAAGGAAGGGACAAGAAAAAAAAGTCAAAATAGATTGGAAAAAAATGGAAGTTTCGGTACATGAAGGGGAGGGGGCTTGAGGGAATGGGATAAAAGAAAAAAAAAAAAAAAGACAGTTCAAGTCTGCTTGCCATTGCCTGTAAGTCCTAAGACAGGTACCTAAGAGTGCACCATTTAAGAGAACTGACAGACCTCTAATAGGCCTTTTCTACCATAAGTTAGACTTGCCTTATGCTTTTCTGGCCATTTCTCTTCAGTCTACCTTTAAATGGTGTTCATAAGGTTTCTGCCCTCTGTTACTTTACTTTCTCTATAAACTTAAGTGATATAGATTACACACCCATAGCTTCCATATTACGTTTATGCTAAGAACTCCTCAATTTCCTGGTCAAAAATGAATTTTTTTCTCAAGTTCCAGTATGTCCGAAGCTCTCCTGAATCCACCCACTTCTCCCTTTTCCTACTGTCCACATTCAAAGCTGAGCCAAAATTGTCTACCACCAGAAGTGGGCCTCTACTTGCTTTCAATCCATTTTTCATTTCCCACACAAAAACTGTACGGCCTTTTCAACAAATCAGCCTAACCCTCCTTCTCCACTGCAGTGGAGAGAATGGCTTCTTGCTCTTAAAAGTCCGACAATCTCAGCACTACCTATATATCCCAGTACAGCGTGAACTGTTTTTTCTCTGCTTCTCTGCAGTCTCTTGTCTCACTATTCTGCTGTTTACTCTACCGACCAGTTGCATGTCTGAAACACCTCCTTACTTCCTCTTCATTCAAGGGACGCCTATAAATCCTTTGGTCTTCAGAACAAGCACTGTGTCTTAGGGAGGACCGTCTCTAATCCCTACCAGGTCAAGGAGATAGGAGTCCTACACATCAGTCTGTGCCTCACATGTCAGAACATCCATTACTCTGTTGCACATAGTGATTTGTGCTTTTGTCCATGTCTCCTAACAGACTTTAGGATATGAAGGTAGAGACCGAGCTCCTCGTGTTCAACATCTTAAGCCAAGGACAAGTACAATTGTAGTTAAGACTAATATCACTGCACTCTGGAATCCAGAAGGAAGTGAAGATGCAGCAGCTTTCTTTCATCTACTGTCCTAGAGGCTGCAGGGCCCTACTGTTTTATATACAGCAGCAGATCTCCATGACTAAGGCACTTTGTTCATCAAACCCGAGGAAAGTTTTTTTGTTTGTTTTTTTTTTGGAGACAGGGTCTCGCTATGTAGTTGAGAGTGACCTGGAACTCACTATGTAGCCCAGGCTGGTCTCGAACTCACAGTGATCCTCCTGCCTCAGCCTGCCAAGTGCTGTGATTACAGGCGTGCGCCACCACGCCCGGCAAACCCGAGGAAAGTAAACAGGAGGAGTCTCCAGCCACTTTCCACCTTAAGAGTAAATGCTCCTCAGGTTTCTCCCTCCACCTGCCGCACTAGGCAAAACGCAGTCCCCCCGCCCCCCCATCAGCAGCCCTAGTTGTTCAGCAAGGGGACCAAGAAAAAAACAAAGCTTCTTAGTTCCCCACGTACCAAGCGAGGTGGCGACGCCTTGGTGCGGTTCCGCCCGCCCCGGGACGAAGCCTGGAGAGAACGGCGGGACCCTGAACTGCACAGGTGCGTCCTTGGAGTTGAGAACGCGCCTTTGCCTGCCGGGGAAGCTCCGGGAGTCCGAGGCCGCCGGCAAAGTTGCAGAGGTGTCCCACCGAGGTCGTTTGGTGCAGGGCTCACAGCCGGGGCCCGCACTCATGCTGGGACCCGCAGCGCACGGTCCCTGGGCCGGCTAGGGCGGAGCACCTCATTAACTAACCCTGAGGGGCACGGACTGCGCCTCCTTCTCGGCGCGTCCCCGCACCATTCCCTCTCTGCTGCTGACTGCCTCTATAGCTGCTGATCCGCGGGGCTCCAAGTCAGGACCTGTACCGTCGCTGGCCTTTCCTTTTCCGCAAGTAGCCGACCTGCCTCAGGGCGCCCCGCTTGGGTGAGGAATACGTTCGCTTTCCCACCGCCGGAAAGCTGCCGCCAGGCGCTCGACTTCCGGGAGCACATTGTCGTAAGGCGGAAGTGCAGCACTTTACGCCCACCGGCGTCCGGAAGGTCAGCGTGTGAAGGAGGCAGTGGTAACGAGGTCTTCCCGCTGCTGCTGTGAAGCAACGGCTGAGGTCTCAACCTGGCCTGAGGCGGCGGGGAGAAGCGGGCATTGGTTTGCTGTGACACCATGGAGGGAGGCGGTGGCAGTGGCAACAAAACTACGGGGGGCTTGGCCGGCTTTTTTGGAGCCAGTGGAGCTGGTTACTCACACGCAGATTTGGCCGGCGTCCCGCGTAAGTATCGGGTCTCGCGTTCGAGCTCCCCTTACGGCTTCCTGTGACTGCACCAGACGTGCGGCGTCCGGTTCTTTTTCTTGCTGGTGTTCACAGGCGTCAGCGCTAAAGGTGGGGTTCATATGTCTGCACGACTGCTTTTTCAAGGTTAAACGAGCTTGGGAGGAGCAGTACAGATCCCTAGGAAGCTCTCTGTGATTGATTTGACCTGGAAAGATGATGCATATTTTCTTCGTTTGTATCCACGCCTCCTTTCTTCGCTTTCATCACGGTCAATTCTGTGTTGAGCAATGTGCTTGTCCCTGGATTAAGACAAACCCGGTTCTGGAAGTAAACACACTCCAGATAGCAAGCACAAAGGTGCAAGAAGAGGAGGACCTTTTAGAATGGGTCAAATTTGACATTTGAGCCGTGACCAGCACATTGTACAAATGTTTGAGAGGCTAATGTCCAAGAAATTGGCTAGTTCAAATGCCCCGGAACAAAATAAATTTAGCATATACTATGAGGAACAGCTGTTAGGTCAGTGTATCTTTAGAGTTGCAAGGGAGTTGTAGTGGTAGAAGATAATGAAAACAGAAGCTGGAAATGGCACCTAATCACAGCTTTTGCAGGGAAGGATAAAGAGTTTGGGTTTGATTACTAGTGTAGAGGGAAGCCATTAGGGCTTATTTCCATTTAAGGTGATTCTAGTTGCTAGAAAGGATATATTGAAGAGGCAAAAGGATGTAAGTTAGATAGAAAGATATATGAGATTTGACGCTTGGACTAGGATGCTGACAATAGAGTTGATAGATAAGGATCAGAGTAGATATTAAAAAATAGGACTAACAAGACTTTCATTTGGTAAAATAGTCATGGTCAGTGCAGATTTATAAGCAATAGCTGAGACACATAAGATCAAAGAGTAAACTTAAAATTTTGGAAAATTTTTTTTCCTTAGTAGTTTTTTCCCTATCTTCAAAGTTAGTGAATTTCAAGTCTGGTCCTCTGAAAGTCTGCATTTTTTTTTTTTTTTTTTTTTGGCCCTGACCTCCATCCATATAGTAAAAGCAGCAATTCTACCCTGTCAGCATTAAGATCTGAAGGAACTGTGCTAGAATGTTTGTCCACAATTAGAAACCAGCTGGGGATTTAGCTCAGCGGTTTAGTGCCCTGCTTCGCAAGCACAAGGACCTGAGTTCGATCCCCCGTACCATTAAAAAAAAAAAAGAATTATTTGCTGGGTGTGGTGGCTCATGCCTGTAATCCCAGTACTCAGGAGGCTGAGGCAGGAGGATCGCTATGAGTTCGAGACCAGCCTGGACTACACAGTGAGTTCCAGGTCAGTCTCAACTACATAGTGAGACCCTGTCTTAAAAAAACAAAACAAACAAACACAATTAAAAACCAAACTCAAGCTCTCCTTTTCCTGGGATTGATTGATTCATCTTTTGCTGAATAATCTTGGTTAGATAGTCTTTTAGTAAAGTGAAAGAAGCTAACTTTATAAATGGTCTGACCCTGTTTCCTGATAGTTTGATAATTTGATCTGCTTCTGCTAGTACTTTATTGGCATAAGCACCTAGGCCACTAGTGCAAGACTGATTTGAAGCTGAGGGACCCCAGGAGGAAGGAGCCCCTAAACTGACTGGAAAGATAAAATGGGGAAAAAAACTCACATTCAGTGATCTGTAAGTCAATTGCAAAGCCTGTGTAACAGTCTAATTACCTTCATATGAAATAACTTAAAAAGAATTTTGTTGCAATATGACATTTTGTTTTTTTCTCTAGTAACTGGTATGAACCCCCTGTCTCCTTACCTAAATGTGGATCCACGATATCTCGTGCAGGTAAGATTAAGATTTTACTAGTCGGTGCTTTAACTTACCGGAAAAAGAAGAAAAGTTCAGCTACTTAATGTTGACTTGAATTGCTGGAAGCACTAAGTCTCCATCCCCCACCCCAAGCTCGACCTGCTTACAACTGTTTAACTCACTTCAAAGGTCTTCTTTTAAAACCAGCAAGGAATTAATGAAAAGTACCCCAGTGAAAATAAGGTTGTTTTTAAAGCTTTGTTTACTAGACTAGTACTGTACTAAATGTCAAAGTTTCAAAGGTTACTGGTTGAATATCTCAGGAAAGCAAGGTTGACTTCTGAAAATCAAAGTACTATGGTATATCAATATGTAACAAAGCAGTGAAAGAAAGAATGGAGCACACAAAACAGTTACCTCAGTAGGTACAGGAAAGCTTTTGATTAAAATCTAACACCCTTCTAGAAAACACTCTAGGGGAATAGAAGGGAACTTCTTCAGCCTAATAAATGGTAGCTATAGAACATTCAGCGCTCATAGATAGTAGTGAAAAAGAATACTTTGCCTTTAAGATAGTAATCACACTCTCTTAAATTCTATTTTAACACTGTCTAGCAGGACTGTTAGGCACAAGAGAACTAAATGGCATCTAGATTGAAAAGGAAAATAGTCTGCAAATGAAAACAGTCTGGTTGTATCTCTGGAAAATCAAAGAAAAGCACAAGGTGACTGTTAGAATAAATGAATTCAACACATAAAATTGTTAGAACTAATAAATGATTTCAGCAAAGTTACAGAATGCAAGACCAGTATAGTAGCAATGAAAACTCAAAAAAAAAAATTATAAACAATTGTTACCAGAAGAATCAAGAGGAATACAATTAATTGAGGTACAAAATTTAACACTCTTGCAAACTATAAAACATTGAAACAAAGAGTAAATAAATGAAAAGATATTTCATAATTGTGGGAAATTTAATGTTAATTATGACATTAGTTCTGTAATTGACTTACTAGTAGTGTATCAGAATCTATGCTGGAGTTTTGTTTTTTTTTTTGGTAGAAATCGACAATCTGATCCTAAAATTCAGATGAAAATTTAAGGAATCTAGAATAACAATTTTGAAAAGGAACAAATTGGAGGAGTCCTCCATTTTAAAACTTACTACAAAGCTATAGTAATTAAGGCATTGTGATAATAGCATAAAGATTTAATCTATAGATCAGTTGAATAAAATTAAAGTGGAAAAAATCCTCACATTGTTTACAGTCAGTTTGTTTTTAGCAAAGCTACCAAGACAAGTAAGGGAAATATAGTGTTTTCAAAAATGATGCTGGGGAGGTTGGGGATTTAGCTCAGTAGTGCTGCTGTCTACCTCACAAGTGCAAGGGCCTAAGTTCGATCTTTGGTACCAAAAAAAAAAAAAAAGAAATGATGTTGCGGGGCAGGGTTTTAGTTCAGTGTTGCTGCATCTGCCTCACAACTGCAAAGTCCTGAGTTCCATCCCTGGTACCAAAAAAAAAAGATAGCTTAAATCTTAATGTAAAAAACTGAAGTTAGATCCCCAACTTCACACCATATGCAAACGTTAACTTAGATTAGATCATAGACTTCAAGGGCTAAAGCTGTAAAACTCAAAAAAATCATCGACATAAATAGTTGTGATTATGTGAGTGAGGCAAATTTCTTAGATGTGCCAATGTAAAGCAAAAGTAATAAAAGGAAAAGTTGATAAATCAAACTTAAACATTTAATTTTGGAGTGCTAAAGGCAACATCATCAATACACACATTCGGAAAAATATTTGTATATCACTTACCTGATAAAGGACTTTATCTAGAATATTTTGCTATTAAGAATTCTTGGAGGTTGTGGTGGCACATGCCTATAATTCTAGCACTTGGAGGCTTAGCTTAGGCAATAGGATCTCCAGGAAGTTGAGGCCAGCTGAAGTACATAGCGATACTGTCTCAAAAAAAAAGTGTTTTTTAATAAAAAGATAAAACAATTACTGCAACAGAGCTGAAAAGATATTTCCCCTTGAAGATACACAAATACCGCATGATCATATGAAAATTGTTCATTGTCATTAATTAGAAAAGTTGAAATCAATTGCAGTGAAATACCACTTCACACCTACCAGGATGACTTAATCACAAAAACACAATATATACTGCTAAGGATGTGGAGAAATTAAGCCTTTGTGCATTGCTGGTGTGAAGGTAAAATGATACAGCTGCTTTTGGAACAGTCTGGCTGTTTCTCAAAATGTTAAAAATAGGATTGTGTTAAGACCTGGCAGTGCTACTCTTAGATACCAAGGAGAATGAAAATGTGTTCACATAATTTGTAAGTGATTGTTCACAGTGGAATTATAATAGGTCAAAGCAGAAACAAACCAAATGACTATCAATTGATAAATGAAAAGATAAAATGTGGCATATTCATATAATGTAATATTTGTCAGTAAAAAGAATGAATTAATGATACATGCTACACATGGATAAGCTTGAAAATTTGCTAAATCTGAGAAGCCAGTTGTAAAGATTATATAATGTGTGCTTTTACTGATGTACTTTGTCCAACATAAGCAAATAGATACAGAAACTAGATTAGCAGCTGCTGAGGATTAGGAATAAATGGAGAATAACTGCTAACACGTGCAAAGTTCTTTTCAGGGCAGTAGGGATGCCCTTAAAATCAATTGTGCAAGTATGAATATATTTAATAATGTCAATCATAGTCATCTAAAAAATTTCTCTTGTCCATTTCTGGATTGAAGGATAATTCAGTCAAACACAGTGATACCTCAGTTATCTCCATGCTTCTGGTCACAAACTGAACTGGATGAAAACTGAATCCCCATATGGTTAACACTGAATGTAACCCTTTGATTCAGTTCTTGTCCCACTTGGTCTTTGAGTAAAATGATGGAATGAAACATGTTTGTGAACTGAGGTATCACTGTAATATACCTAAAATCCTCAAACAAGACACATAATTTAGAACTAAGGTATTAATTTAAAAAGTCAGCCCTCAAAAACTTGCAAAATTATACATAGCATATCATGGCATGGGACCTCTTCAATTTGTATGATAAGAGTGAGTATCTTTGTTCATTTGTGCACTTTTTGATGAGGTTGTGTGCACAGACAAATAACCCAGTGCAGGCTGGACACGGTGGCACATGACTGTAATCCTAACACCTCGTTGCTTAGGCAGGAGGATCACGATTTCTAAGACAGCCTGGGCTACATAATAAGGTCTTATCACAGATACAAAATAAAAATTTAGAGCAGTGCTACTTTTCCTAATCAGGAATGTATTTACCAAAGTTTTGTATTTAGCACAGGAATGTGGGAGAAGTATGTTTTATTTTAAGAGTAGGAAGAATTTATTGACAGGAAGATAGCTTCTGACTAAGAGAGACAGAAAGGTGAGTTGCCCCGGGAGAAGTATTTCTTGTTATCTTTTCTGTGCTGAATGTGGCACTGTATGTTTGGTATGGTATCCGTTGAAGATTATTTTACAAAAATGAAGTAAAAATGTTCTCCATAAAAGTGTATTGACTTTTAAAAATTATTATTTACTATTAAGAGTGGAAGCATTTTTTAACCTGGAATTTCGGGTTCCCTTTTTTCCATTGATTCAAGCTACATGTTTTGTAAGTATTTACTAAAGAGAGGATCTAAAGTTTTCTAAGGTTATCAAAAGAATATACCTAAAAGAAAATTTGGGATATGATTGAGATTCAGAGTTTAGTCCTCTATTTGTAAAAATAGGGAGAGACTTCTTAGTAAAAAGACAGCATTCCTTTAGGCATCAAAAAAAAAAAAAAAGTATATCTCAGTCAACTGAAAGTTACTAAGGTGGGGTATCTGGGGTATAGCCCAGAGCTAGAGAGTTTGCCTAGCGTGTGCCAGGCCTTAGATTCCATGCCCAGCACTGCCAAAAAGTAAATAGAATATTTAAGGGGATAATTTGCCTTTGTCTGACTGTCAGTCTGTTGTTTTTCAGTAGTTTTTGCCCAATTTTAATGATCATTTGGTCTCATACAGTAAGGGTGCTTAGTGAATACCTGCTACTGAATAGGTAGCAGGTATTCCAGATAGGTCATGTATCAGCTGTTATCAATTTTCTGTTTACCTTTCTTACCTTTCTTTAGAGCTGTCCTTTTTAAACTCCTTTGCATCACTGCTTTAGATTCATTAAGGCAGCTAACATACAACATATCTCATTTCAGTGGTGTGAATGAGAATCTCCTTGTTGAACTAAAGGTGTTACGCATTTCATTTCACATTTAGCTATTGCAGGTCCTTTTAGTTTTGAGTAAAATAGTTGAGTTTGCTTTAATTTGAGGTTTGGTTTTCTTGAAAAACTGCTTTGAAATTTAAAAAGTACTTTGTAATAATATGCCGTGAAGCATGCTCACCTTGGCTTTCATTATGATCCATTAGGATACTGATGAGTTTATTTTACCAACTGGAGCTAATAAAACCCGGGGCAGGTTTGAACTGGCCTTCTTTACCATTGGAGGATGTTGTATGACTGGTGAGTGTGAAATTTTTTTAAGTGTCTTTAGTCCAAGTAGTTAATGGTACCTAAAATCAAAAGCAATAAGAATATTGGTTTTAGGGTTTATTTTAGATCAATATTTTCAATTATTTTCTTTTTTTGATAATGAAAATGAGTCAGAAATACAGTTTTTTAAAACAAAGCTTTAATATTTGGATGAATTGTTGTTGTTCCCCAGGGGCTGCCTTTGGGGCAGTGAACGGTCTTCGGCTAGGATTGAAGGAAACCCAGACTATGGCCTGGTCCAAACCAAGAAATGTACAGTAAGTGTTGGGTAATCCTCTTACATATAATGCTTGAATGTTAACCCTGCTTTGTTAGTTTGATAGATATAACCCGAGGTTACAAATGTTCAGAGACTTGATACTTGATATACTTTCTTTTTTTTCCCCTCTTTCTTTTTTTGGTCTTACCTCCAATAGAAGGAACGAAGAAATCAGATTGCTGACTTTTAGTTTTTAAAAGGACTGAACGTTTGAGTTTCTTGGTCACCTGGTGCTACTCCATCCTAACTTCTTAGTAACATGTGTTCTATTTTTCAGCCTGTATGATAAGCTTTTTAATTTGGCAAATTAAACTTAGGAGTCAATTCTAGAAAGATAAGGCTGTCTTTCCTCATGACCTTGAAGTCTACAGAGAAAGGAAAAGGCAATTAAGTGGGTCAGAAAATGTGTATATCTTCACTCTACCTAAGAAACAAACATGACTAGTCCCTGTTGATATTACTTTAGTGATATGTTGCTCAGATTTGCTATTTTTTAAAAAGAAAATATAAATGCTTTTTTTTTTTTCAATTTTAATTTAATACTTTTCGGTAGGAGGAGTTGTACAGTGTGCGTTCCTTTTTGATTCATGGTTTTGTTCTAGGGCTCTTTGAACGTGATCATCTGCGAATATTGTTCAGCCAGCAGATGGCAGCAGATGTGCTAAGGTTAGAGCTTATGACACTTGAAGGCCTGTCAAATTTTCCTGTTACTGTGTGGATCACTACTTGAATTACCTGCCCAGATCCTTCAATATTTTTGTATAATTCTCAACATTTTCCTCTTTGCTCCAGTGATTTTTATTTTTTTGTATTATAATTTCGATTCTGTGGAAAAGTAGACATAGTATAATGAGCCATCTGTAACATAAGTCTTCTTTAACAACCATCAGCCATGTTCCATTTCCTTCTGTGTTACTTTGAAACATGCCCCCAACATTATATTGGATATAAATTTGGAAGTGTTCTAGAAAGGATAACTTGCTTCATTTCTTACAACGTAATAGGTAATCATTCTCATCTTTCTATTTAGGCAGGCAGCATTTAGTAATAGAAAGATGATAGGCTTTATAGCCAGGCACATATATGTGGCTTCAGAACCCCAGTTTCTTGACTTACTGTTTTATAATTTTGAGTAAATTCTCACTGTTTTCTGCCCTTCGGGTTGTTGAGAGATGATAAAAATGAAAAGTAGGTAAGAGCTCTGTTCACCTGAATAGATTTCAAGGTCCTCATTGTCAGTTACAAAAGGTCCTTTGTAGATAACAAAAATATTTGCAGTTCTAGACAGGGGATGATTTAGCAGTGCTTAGTCAGAACCAGATGCTTTCATCACATATCATTTGTGTTGTCAGATTGCCTCCCAAATAATTTTACTATCTTTCAGTCCTACCAGTGATACAGTGCTGGAAATGAATAGTTTTAATGTTTGTTACAGATGAAAGAATGTATTAAACTTCAGATTGATTACTAAATATGTAACAATTAGGAACAAAATCCTTTTCAAAAATTACTAATTTTTGAAACATCATTTTATAAGTACAGTGGACTCTTGACTTATGAACTTGATTTGTTCCCAAGGGCTGGTTGTAACTCAGGTTGGTCAGTGAAGGCTCAGGCTACTCTGCATAGCCTTCAAAGTCTTTCTCCTAAGTACAGGCAGATCTCAGTGTCCTTAGAGAGACATTGGCCCAGGATTTCTCAATTAACCCCACACAGCAAGGGTGTTGTAATTTTCCTTCCAGAACTCTTTAAGGGTTACATATGTACCTGAGACATTTGGAAGCACAAGTGGCTGGCATTTGGGTCGTAACTTAAGACTTTGGTCATAAGTTAAAACTAAAATTCTGGTCATAATCCAAGTTATTCAAATGTCAGGCCAATCATAACTCTCATGACTCGAGGGTCCACTGTAATACCAATTTTTGTTATTGTAGAGGTTAATTGAATCTTGCAATAACTAAATGAGTTCTTCAGCTCTTTGTTATACTTCCACTGTTTCCAGCAGTAGTCAGCCGTCCAGACAGATATATAGCTGTGACGGTGTTACACTGCTGGGAGAGCATTGTCTTGTCTTCCCCTGTTACCCTTTGTTGCTGTTCTGGTGGCAAGGGGCACTGGTGCAAGTCTGACTGTGCTTCCTTGAGAGTGTGCTGAGCATTCACTTTGGCTGCTTGGTTTTAGTCTGGGAGCAGACAGTGTTTCTGTCTCTTCAGTTCTGCTTTATTTTCTGTACTTTGATATTCTTTACTTTGATTCTATTTACTATTCTGAGTGTGTGCTCTTCTTCCCAAAAGAAATCAAGCCAATTTGTCATACTCAAAATGACATCTTTTACATTATCAGTTTCTGTAATCATTTTCTTTATAAAAGATTATTATTCAAAAGTTGTATGTTTAGCATGTATTTAGTACTTTTTATGTTTAAAAAATTTAATAAGGAATTTTTCTCAATTGTTGCCTAAAATGCTGAATATTTTAACCTAACCCTTATCTATATAGAGTAAAAGCTATCTTTTGAAATCTGAGGAGATAGTAAAATGTATCCTAAAATTAAGAAAACGTCAGGGTATATCCTTAGGCATTTTAAGTAGCTATTACTTTTTTTTTTTCTTAAGATTACTAGAGAGATAATGACTATTTTATTTCATTTTTGAGATAATGATTCTAAATGCAGATTCTTTCCTTTTCTTCCTTGGTAGGATTTTGAATATGGTGACTAGGCAAGGGGCACTCTGGGCCAATACTCTGGGTTCTCTAGGTAAGTAGAAATTTCATTTACTAATAAATGAAAAAAAGAACATGCAAGTATTGTGGATAATTTGGTCAACCAAAATTCTGGTTCTAGGATATGAAATAATTATATTTACATCTGCTCTTGTGAATAGTGTAGCTACCACAAACTGCCTTTTGTTCAAGCAGGACATCAAATAAAATCATGTTTAACTAAATTGAAATTCAGGTAATTTTGGCACAGGCCAAAGGGTTATCTGTGTTAAGAAAGATTCAAGGTCCTATAGTGAGATGTGACAGATTACTCCTGTCCTTTTGCCTTGTTTTCCTAATAGTCTACTCAGCAGTTTGTTCACCTGAGTAGATTTCTAGGACTTCATTGTCAGTTGCACTGGGTCCTTTGTAGATAACAAAAATATTTGCAGTTCTAGGCAAAGGGTGATTTAGCTTAGTCAGAACCAAATGCTTTCATTATATATCATTTGTGAATGATAGGCTTTTCATTATTGATGACAAATATATGCTCAGACATCCAGGATTTTACTAATTTATTAACTTAGCTGAATTTCTAATTATCTTTTTACTTGTGTCAGAATAAGAGAAAATATATACAGCTCATTGAAAAGATAGAAAAAGCCTCTGTTGTGACATAGTAAGATCCTAGCCTTGTCCTGGGTTTTGAAGGAGTGCATTTGCGCACTATGCAGTCAGATTTGCATTTTGGATTCTGCTAAGTAGCTGCTTTCACGTACTGCCTGCCTGAGACTTTCTTGGTTTCAGCACTGCAAGTCCTTCATTGCAAGAAACTCCTCATTCCTGGGCTCATCAGATAGCTGGTCATCCGCTGGTGACCCTGTGTGTTCTCATTGTCCTGTGATCAGCCACAGTATTCTCATATTCACTTTTGGTTAAATAAGTTGACCACAAAGATGTTGCTATATAGATATGTATAGCCCAGCAGAGGACTTCTAAGACTGAGCTTGGTATTACATTGTTGGAGGGTCAAATGCAGCTACAATTTTGAGAAAGGGTAAGAAAAAGTTTGAATGCATTTGTGCCTGATAAGAATCAGGGTCATTGGAAGGGTTGTTTGGGGGAAGATCTTGTGAAATCAAATGGTGCTAGAGTTACAGGTTTTGCATGTATGAAAAATCAAACCTCACATTCTTTTTAATTACTTTTTTTTATAATAGAAGTATGTGGGTGTTTAGTCCAAAGTAAAGTTATTATGGGTAATGTATAAGTGAAAATTTAAAATATCATTCTTGGGGCCATCCAGTAACATTTTCTAGAAATAGCTACTTTTGTTGTTTCTTCTTAATCTGCAGATGTTTCCTTCTGTAGGCAGTTGGAGTCGTGCACAAGTGCCTGTTTCATATGTTAGTAGATGTAGTTCTACTGTATACTGTTCCATTATGTGGAAAGTCCCCTTCTTTATTCAGATTGTGCAAATGCTCTTGATGAGCATTTTATTCATTACCAGGGTTTTACTGTTTGAAACAGTGTTCCAGTGATTGTTCTATATTTATTTTTGAATAAGTCTGTCTAAAAATAATAGCCACACTGACTTTTAGTCATCCTTATATTACTAATCACTTCTATTTTCCCTTTAGCTTTGCTATATAGTGCATTTGGTGTTATCATTGAGAAAACACGAGGTGCAGAAGATGACCTGAACACAGTGGCAGCCGGAACCATGACAGGCATGTTGTATAAATGTACAGGTGGGTGCTGCTGAACAGAGAACTAATTCTTAATAGACTTGAAGCATGCTTGTTATCCACAGTTCTCAGTGAAAACTGTTATGTTTTGCTTTTTTTTTCTAGTACAATCTGGTGCTCACACCATGTGGTTATTTTGGTTTGTTTTTGTTTTATAATTGTGGTAAAAATAACACTGTCTTAAACATAGTCTAGTTCAATAGTGTTAAGTTACTCATAGGATTATGCAACCAACTCCAGAACTTTTCATCTTGCAAAAAACTTATACTCTGTACTCATAGGACAAAAATTCCCATTTTTCTCTCCTCCTAGTTTCTGGTGGTCTTATACTGTCTTTGAATATGATTACTATAGGTACTTTGTACAAGTAGGCTCTTAGATTATTTGTCCTTTTGTGACTGGTATATTTCACTTAGCATAGTATCCTCAAGGTTCATCCATATTGTATCATGTGTCAGTTTTCTTCCTTTTTAAAGCTGAGTAATACTCCATTGTATATATTTACATATCTGTCCTGTGTCAAAGGTTGCTTGGGTTGCTTCCATTTACTGAATATTGTGAATAATGCTGCTGTGAATAGGCACCTGCAAATACCTCCTTATGAGTTCTTTCAGCTATATATCTGGAATTGGATTCTTGGAATAGCTAGTTCATGATTGTTTTTTTTTTTTTGACGTTGAAACAAGGTAAGATTCATTGGGAATATATCTCAGTGGTAGACTTGTCTGCCTAGTATGTATAAGGCCTTGGATTTAATCTCTAGCACTACAAAGAAAACAGTACATTAAACTGTTACAAGATACAAGTCCAGAGCTCCAGCTCTATTAAGAGCATGTTATTCCTGTGAGAATCTTACTCCATTGGGAGATCAGCATGATATTGCATTAAGCGTGAGATAGTGCTTTTCTGTGTATACATTTTCATTAATTTAGAAACAAATATGTGGATAATACCTGGTTTTATTTATTTTTACTGTGTGTGTGTGTGTGTGTGTGTGTGTGTGCACAAGTGAGCACAGGTGCATGTGATGGTGTGAATTGGTCACTTTCCTGGTGCACAGCACTTTACACCTGCAACTTAAGGGAGGAGAATTATATTTTGGCTCATGGTTTCAGAGCATTCAGTTGGTGGTCAGCTGGTCCAAAGGAGGAACATGGTGGAAATGGACCAGAGCTGCTCACTGGGTGGCACTCAGGAAGCAGAGCACAAGGAAGAGCGAGCTAGGGAGATACACCCTACAAATGCATGTTCCAGTGATCTGCTTCACCAACTGGGTCCTTCCTTCTAACAGCACATTCAGCTATGAACTCAGCAGTGCATTAATCCATTGATGACTATAGTGCCTCATGATCTGCTCACCTTCCAAAAGCCCCACTGTAATACGCAAGATGTTTGGGGGACATTTTAGATCTAAACTATGATACTGGAAATAAACCTAGGACCTTATGCAGGGAAAGCATATGCTTAACCACTGCTATATCCCCAGCCCAGTGCCAAATTTAATTGTTTTTATTATATTGATAAATCTTTGAATTTCATAATTTTATTTTTATCAAAATAAACAATTTTAAAAGTTTAAGTTAATCTTAAATCTAAAAGTCTCATTGATGTACAGTAGTCTTATGCATTCATCATCCTCACCTTAGCTAATTAATTTGCTGCTTCCAAAAGTAACTGCTTTTCTTCTTTCCTCTTTACCTTCATGTGTCTAAATAACATGATTATCTGGCTATTTCTTGTTTTTTTAATCTCAGGTATTGACTTCCTACTAGAAAAACTATGTTAGGGCCTGTAAGAATTGTACAAAATGTACTTGTTGGAGAAAGGAAGTCTTGCTTTTTTTGCGGGGGTACCAGGGATCGAACTCAGGACTTTGCACCTTCAATGCAGGTGACAGCACCACTAAGCTAAATCCCCAGCCCAAGTCTTGCTTTTTATAGAACGTCTCATTTACGCGAGGGATTACAGGTCACCTTTGTTTTATGGACAGGCTGAAACTCAAGCAAGTTACTTTGGCTTTCTAGCCAGCTCTTTAGAGGCCTTGTGCTAATGAACCCCCAAGCCTGACTCTGAAGACTTATTACCACATCAGATTGCCTTGCCTGCAAGATAGAGAAATCAGGGGATATTTTTAAAAAAGGAAAGGAGTAATAACAGTTGAGTGTGACCTGGAGTATGGACTGAATTTCAAGTGTATCTGGTCCCATGATAAGCATAAGGGAGGTGGAGGAGAAAAGTCTGGGAGGAGAGTATAGATCTAGAGCATAGCAGGCATGAGAAGTTTAAGCTTAGACCAGAGGTCCTCAGACAGGTCATAGATGATGTTAGTCACCTGATCAGATGATTACATATTGTATGTGTGGACTACAATGCCACACGATTCTCTATAAATATGTGTAATTATTGTATCAATTAAAAAGTATATTAATAAAAGTCCTTAGATAAGCAAGCTTGGACACACCCAGTTATGCAAGACTCCAAAGCTCTCTGTTTTGGACCGGGAGTCCTGGAGTCATTCTTGTGGGAGATTAAAGTAGAAATACTGGGTAGATAAGATAGATTGGAGGTCAAAGCAAATCAAAATGGTCAAGGCAAAATACTACAGAAGTTTAAGGTTTGTGAAATGGCCTCAAGGCAAGTGACAGGTGGTAAATGTCACATCTTATGAAATGGGATGGTGAGGGAAATGTGGGCAGGGAAGATGACTGGATTGCTAGAAGGTTGTTTTCTTGCTTTGCTAATTTCTTTGTCTTGTAATACTGTGGAAGTAGCCCTGTGACTAAGCAGCACACCATTGTCCCTCCCAGTCTCTTCCTGGAAGCACTGAACTTACTGAAATATCTGTTGTCTTTGACTCCCTGTAGTACTGTCCTTTCAAAATTCTTTTTTGCCAACAGTTCCTGGCCATTTGAGTAATTGTTTTCTGTGAGTGGTGATAGGATTCCTAGATCCCTCTGAGGACCTTAGCAAAGTTTTCAAGCATTTGTAAACCTAAAGTTAATATGTGCCGCAGGCTCTGTTCAGGAGGAGTGGAAGTTACAATAGACACTTTCAGACATATGAGTAATGGAGATGCCAGTATTGTGTTTAGAAAGTAGGATGTATCCAAATGTTCAGTTTACCTATTTTCTTTACAGTAGCCAGTGAGACAGTCTTCTGTATGATTTGCTCTTTTGGCTCCAGGTTTGACTCCTTTTACTCCCACTTTGGCCCTCTTTTCTTCCTGCTTCCTTTTCTTGGAACTGTCTTTCCAGACATGCATCTCACATGCTCTTCCATCTGTCTGTGTTCCTTCAGATATGGTCTTCTCGAGCCATCTTTCAAACACCACGTACATATACATAGTTTTGTGCTGTGGGATAAGTTGCTGAGAGCCATGCTATGTAAGCAACAGAGCAACATTTTAAAAATGCTAAAAACTAATGCCAAAATGCCTTCCAAGTACTTGCTTACTTTTGCTAGCATGAAATGTCACTTGGTGAAAAATAATTATTAAAAGTCTCGCTTTGATTTTGTCTGGTTGTTCATGGGACTGAGTATTTTCCTTTGTTAGTGGTTATTTGTCTTTTCACTTGAAATTGTCATTACTTTTATTGTTTTTAATTGAATTGGTGCTTTTAACTGATTTGTTAAAATATATCACGTATTGTGGCAGTTATCTTTCGACCTTTTATATATGACACGTGGAATTTTACTTAATGGAAAAAAATAATGGCAGTAATAAAGAAATTATCCAGAGCTTCTTTGGCAGGTGATGTTTTAGTACATTCAGTTAAGACACTGATAAATAGAATGTTTTGACAATAACTGATGGTAGTTGCTTAATTTAAAACTTGGAATTTTGTGTATACATTTACTTTTACTTTGCTTTTATAAACTGACTTATGGAAGATGTAGGATTAACTTGTCAAGGTGTTGGCAAGAAGGAGGGATCACTAATAACTTTTGCCTTTGAGAACTTGTTTCCTGAAAATGTGTGAATAAGCTGCTTTTAGCTAATTGATTATAGCTATTCTTGTTCAGGTAGAACATAGTCATCATTAAGTGGATATCATATGCCCCAGGGAATCCCATAATGACATTTTACACGTTTTGAAAAAAACATTTGCATAGTTCATTAAAGAAATATGAGCCTTTCAATCTGAGTTCCTTTCTTTTTTTCTTTTTTCCTCTTTGGATTTCTATTTTTGAAGAGTACCCTGGGGGTTGGAAATATTTTAGGTCAGCAGGAATGAGGCATTGCCCTAGGGTTAATGGTTCTTTCCTTAATGGTTTATGCTTGCCCTAGTCTTAAAGAGAGTACCTAAGCTCTTTTCCAACTCCTTGAATCTGAAAGTTGAAGTTACATTTTTATTCCTGCCACAAAATTTTATGGTCTGTCTTCTTGGATTTATTTAAAACCAGAAATTAATACAAAGACACTGATTTGCCTTTGTTAAAATGATTTCAGTGTGTTGAGCTAAACCATTACACCAGAACTATGTACAGAGGTTGGGATTCTGGGTCAGCAATTATCTACTTCCTCTGATTATTCACTTCCACAATTGCAGTGGAAATTGAAATCTACTTTTCACTTGACATGAAATTAGTTTTTCTTTTGTGTTTTTCTCTTTTGAGCCAAGAATTTTCTTCTCTATAGTTAAAATCAGAAGGGTCTCATACTGTGTTACCTCATTACTTCAGGGAAATCCTAACACAGAAATTTAGGCTCCTGTTTTTACTTTTCACTTGACATGAAATTAGTTTTTCTTTTGTGTTTTTCTCTTTTGAGCCAAGAATTTTCTTCTCTATAGTTAAAATCAGAAGGGTCTCATACTGTGTTACCTCATTACTTCAGGGAAATCCTAACACAGAAATTTAGGCTCCTGTTTGTGTGTGTGTGTGTGTGTGTGTGTGTGTGTGTGTGTGTGTGTGTTACTGGGGATCAAATTCAGGACCTTATGCTTGCAAGGCAGGTGTGGTGCCACTGAGCTAGCCCTTCCCATGTCTTTTGATAACATCAAATATTCCGCTGTTTCTATCTTATCAGTAACTCTTGATATCTCTTAAATTAGAAGCTAATTTAGTGCATTTTCCCATTCAGGATTGCCTGTAACAGGCAACACCACAGCAGCCTACCTTCTGAAGGAAAATGAGTGGCGTGGGGCCAACTTTTCATTGGCTAGAAGCACCCAGTGCCACTATGCATAATAGGCTTAATTTTTCCCTTTATTTAAAACATGAAATTCCATATTTTGTGTGAAATCCCAGATTTTTAAAATACTAGTGTAATTTTTAATATAGTTTGGTCCAAGCTCTTGTTGGCTGATTGACACACTTGAGCTAAGTTTTAAATTTATCTCACCCTAAATCCTTCATTGTGAACATATTTTTGGGGTTTTTTTTTGGTACTGGGGATTGAACTCAGGCCCTTGAGCTTGTGAGACAGGTGGCAGAACCACTGAGCCAAATCCCCAGCCCTAGGTTTTTTTAAACAAGAATTTTCTATGCTAAGGTAAAACTTTTTGGGTATAAAAGGTACCCACACTCTGTTTATGTGAGTTCCATGTACCTGCATGTTTTATAAGAAGTATTGTTAGAGCTCTTGAAGATGAAGTACCATATGTAGTCCATTTTATACAGCAAGCCTCTTATTCTCAAATATCTTAGGAAAACTTGGATTTTATGATTCTTTTGAGTTTTCTTGCCTTCTTTGTATTGGATTAATTACTAAAAACAGGGTAACTCAGTTAATGTATCATAAAGCAACTCAACCAATGGGACCTTTCAGAGGCATGAGTAGAACATAGGAAGTTAATTATGCTATTTTTAAAAAAATGTGATGAAAATTTTAAGATGATGTCATTTTTTGAGTATGTCATCTTTTGAAAAATCATGTGAATATTGTGCTTATTCATCAAACTTGCATGTGATCACTTTACTGGTTGATGCATTTAAAATGAAACAAAGTTTGGTAAGTGCTTATTGGTGAAAATTTAATTGTGCTGGGTGTGGTGATGCATGCCTATAATCTCATCTACTTGGGAGGTGGAGGCAGTAATATTACAAGTTCAAAGCCAGCCTGGGCTGTCTCAGAAAATTATTTTTTAAAGTATAATCATAACTCAGTAAATGTCAATTCCATTTCTTAGAACTGAATGTGATATTTGATCTTTATCCAGACTGTGTTTTTTTCCTCCCTTTGGTATCAGAGATTGAACTTGGGACTTTGCGCTTTGGAGGCAGGTGGCGGCATCACTGAGCTAAATCCTTGGCCCTGATTTAATTACTCTTTATATGTGAATGATGTTCATTCATGTTTATAACAATATTATTCACAATGGCCAAAAGGTAGAAATAATTCAGGTATCCATTTATGGATGGATATACAAAATGTGTACCCATATACAATGGAATATTATTTCAGCCTTAAAAAGGAAGGAAATTTTGATATATCATGGATGAACCTTAAGGATATTATGCTAAATATAATAAGCCAGTCACAAAAAGTGCAAATATTCTTAATGCCACTGAACTGTACACTTGAAAATAGTTATGATCATAAACTTTGTTCTGTGTATTGTATTACACTTTTTTGGGGTATATTTTTTGGTTGTGGGAATTGAACCTAGGACCTCACATGCTAAGCACACGTTCTACACTTGACAGGGTTTGGTAGCCCTCTCAATATGTATGTTAAGCCTGTTCCTCTAAAGCAGGGCCAGCAGTTGGCTGTTCACTATCTGAAAGCCAAGAATTCTGTTTTATCATTTTCAAATGGTCACATATTCAGTGGTGTATAATTATCTACATAATACATTTGAGCCTCATAGACTAGTAATATTTACTACCTGGTCTTTGTAAGAAAGATTTGCTAATCTCTGTTGTAAACTGTCATTTTTATATTTAGCTCTGTATCCCCAAAACAAGGCACTTAAGTATTCTGGGGATCTTTCCACATGTTTAGAAAATGTAATACTTGCCCCTGTCTCTCTGGAAGACTTGAGTAAGGGTGCAAAAAAGGTAGGAGGTAACACAGAAACACAAGCCTTGTTTGTTTTGCTTTGTAGAGATTGACCATTGGTCTAATTTGCTTACTCTGTCTTCAAAGCAAGTATAGTTGCTGATCAACTTCCTGTGCTTAGTTGACCGGAAGTTATTTTTTTATTAGAGAAAGACTAAAGCAGAGGCCCTTAAACTTGTTACCGGTTGACCACTTGGGAAGCCTCGGAATTAAGGGAAAGAGTAAAATTAAGGTATAATAAAAGGCTGCCCTTGAGTTAGGATTAACTATGTGGTGAGTAAATCAGACACTGAAGATGTTTGGTGTCTTCCTGTTAGAGAACTTTTCTTATCTTTAAAGAACTAATGCCTGTCATTGATCTGAACTAAGTTTTTGTTTCATTTTGGTTAAAATATAGAAAGCTTTGAGAGGCATAAATTCTTCCTAAGGAATATTTAATATCCCCTGGTGTTCCAAAGATCGTAAAGCCTTACACATCTCATTGTAATTACGGGATTCCTAATGTCTCTGCTGGAGGATTTCCATGGAAACTTGACAGCTGAAAACTTGTATGGAAATTCTTCCACATGTGGCAGAAACTGTGTTCTTAGGACACTCAAAGCAAAGGAAGCTCAGCTGGAAGAAGTAGTTTGTGGTAGACTTTATATGGATCTGTCATGGACTAAAACTTCTGAGGGTCAGTGTGCTTTCATTTATCTTCCCTGTCACTTTTCTACTAACAAGTAGTGGCTGGGGGCACAAGGTCCATTGCTGTTTCATGTTGATTTAGAATGGAGTTTAGAACATCACATTTTGGCTGCCTGCTTGAGATACCTCTCATTATACTATAAAATTTTAAGTCCGGTAAATGAGACATGATGCTGTTGTCGATACATTTGGTGTTTATTCTTCTGAGCCTCAGTTTATTTTCAATTTTTAGGAGTCTGGTCTAATTATTGTTCACTTTTGGGCCTGCAGCTTTTTCTTGACATGCTAAAGACATGACAAATGATCATTATTAAATTGAACACACTTTTAAGTTAGCAGATTAGGTGTATGTTATTTTCTAATTTTTAATGTTTCAACCACACTGAATACATTAGAAATTAAACTGCCATGCCTACTTCTAAATGCAAAAAGATGATAGATGATGTGGACTTTAAGAAGGTAACTTCCATTTACTTTGATTTGTGAGGCTTTTAAAAGTTTTTGCTCTCCATCCCACACCCTTCACACCTATTTATGGATGGTACCTGCAACTTGTTTGGGTATGTTTAGGACAGATAATTGTGACATTTCATAGTAGAAGCTAAGCAGGACAGCTATCAGAAGTCTTCAGAGTGGAGAGATTCCTGCAAGGAGTGGCCTTTAATTTATCAGCAGAAGACATCTGGTAGACTGAGAAATGGCTTAGTTCAATGCAGCAGTGTTGCTGTATTTTGCAGATTTGACTGACATGGCAGTAAGGAACTCCACCACGATGAAGATGAATCCATCCTACCTTTGTCTTCCTAAAACATGACCTGGATAAAACACTAGCTACAGTGTGGGCCCCTTGAAGTCTGTGATCCTTCCTTGTTTGGGGAGCTTCAAGATGTATCACATTCTTTGAAATATCTTTGGGAACCCTCTCCTGTGGCATTTTTTAGTTAGGCTTCTTTTTACCACATAATAGTTATGACTGACATAACCATAGGCAGATTTTGAGCAGTATCTGTGTCACTTCCTCATACTAGAGTTGGGGATTATTTTCTAGTGACCAAGACATTATTTCTGCATTTTGAATGAAATCTTTTTCCACATGAAAAATTGTACTGTTATTGAGCAGAATTACATAATTCTTGAATTTTTTTCCAGCTAGTCTGATAATGTGAAGTGGCCCATTGCTTGTTAGTCCTTGGAGAATGTCCTAATAGCCATAATTCAGAGCTTGACTAGTCATCTTATTACAACTGCTTCTTGAGTCCTCAGAGTTAATATTTAGAGGACCCTGCCTGTCCAGAGTCCAAAGGCTGTTTTTCCACATAGGGTTTCACCTTGTTTATATTACAGCCTAAGTTCACGGCTAGTGAAGTATAAACCTTATCATGTGACTGACTGGTTGAAAGCTCAATAATAATAAGTGTGAGACTTATCCATAACTGCCATAGTTACAAGTTGGATTGAGAAAAATCAAGACATCTTTACTTCTGATTATTTTGGTACAAACTGAAAACTGGAGAAATTGTGTATATGAAGTTATCAGAACATGTATTAGAAAGTCTGGGGAATTTATCTCAGACTTAAGTCTTCATTTGTTGTGTTGCTTTAAAAAGTTACATGCATTTGGGATGGAATATTCTTTTAAAATGTCTCCATGTCTCTTTCGCTGTACCATACTCTTTATGTAGCCCTTCAGTACTAGGATGTATGCAATTCAAAGTTGTTCTCCCTTTTCCTTCTCTCCTAGGTGGGCTTCGAGGAGTTGCCCGAGGGGGTTTGGCAGGCCTAACACTTACCAGCCTGTATGCACTATATAACAACTGGGAGCACATGAAAGGGTCCTTGCTCCACCAGTCACTTTGAAGATTCTGCCAACTCATGGAGGACATTTGTAGTATCCAGTTAATAAGTCAGTCTGGATTTACTTTCTCCTGCCTACAGTTAGCTTGGAAAATTGAAGATTCTGATTTACTGTGATGAAGATGATCATGGATAACCAGGACCAGCAGCCCTTCTTGCTCTCAGTGAGCTGAAGCCAAAACCTTGGTGGCTGAGTAATGTGGTTCTATTCTCCTTTGGAGATGACCTTGCACCTATTTGTTCTTTCCCCTATCCTGAACAGGAAAGTCACTCAACTCCCAGAATTCAGGTCATGCTTCAGTCCTTTATCACACAATTTGTTCATTAATGGATCTGAAACTGTAATACTCTAATATCCTGTACTCTAAAGGGTGAAAATAGAACCAAAGTCATACAACTCCAATGTAAACTGTCTAAATTTGAAAACATCTGGGTATAAAATAAAAGTTATTCTTGGCATTGTTTGTATTAAAATGAAGGGCTACTGGTAGTAGTAACTTCTTGGATGAGATTTTTTTCCCTATGGAACTGGCAAAGACCTCAGGGATTTTCCTCATTAGTGTAGTGTGTTAGAACAGTCCGTCCAGCACCTTACTCCATTCTGAATGCTGTTAACTTGCTCCTTGGAACTGATTATGTTTAGACATTTCCCAGGAAGCTAAAGGAAATGAGGGTAGAATGTTTACTTTCTGAATCAGTTTTATTCCTAAGATGAAATTAAACAAATGTAATAGCACTGCAGGGTACTTATATACTTAATCACCACAGTCTATGTGATTGGGAAAGTAAACAGGCTTTTTTGGATGTGTGTAATAATGGGAAACCTGTGGCAAAGCACTGAGCCCCAGCTGCTGGCAGACCAGTATAAAAGGAGCAGATGTAGACTTTTCAGGCAAAGGCTGAAAATGGAAGCAATAATACATCTATTTTTGGCTAATTTAAGACTTATGAATTACAATGAATATGCCATTTATGTTTAAATTGTTTGGCTTGTATTCCTAACCAAGTGTACCGCATAAACACATTTTTAACCTTGTTGTACAAATGCACACATAATTGTTGTGGCTTTTAATGGAGGGAGGTATAAAATGCATCAGTGCAAAATGTTTTACATACTCATTAGCTTAATGATTAGTATAAATCACATTTTGATGGTATAAAAAGTGTGTTAGATCTCTCAAAAATGAAACTACAAAATTTGCTGCAACTAAGATACTGTAAAGGCTCCAAGTTGTTTTTACCTACCACCTTTATTATAATTCTCAGTGGTAAATGGAAGAATTACAAAGAGGCTCTTTTCAGCTGTGGCTCAAAAGGATTCCAGAGAAGCTGTATGGCAGTGTCACTGTGAGACTGATATTTCCCTCAGTATTTCCAGTAACACAGGCAGTTAAGAGACTTGATAGTTTCAAAGCCCAGAAGGCAGCTAAGATCTTAGAATTGTAAAACCCACTCACCTACAGAGAAATGTTTAAATGACTAAAGATACTGAGAAAACAACCAATGGTTCCATCTATAAAGCTTTAGTAAGCACCCCAAGGCACAATTATTGAAACTACCTGTTCACTAAAATGCCACCACTGCATTATACCTTTGGGGGTACAGGAATGCTGTGTTTGCATCAATAGGACACTGACCACCCCTAGTCAAAAGCACCAGGTGTTAAGCTCAGGTTTCATTTACTCAGGATGCACCAGAAATCCTTAAGGTGGTGAATAGTTCAAGTACTACATTTCTAGCTAGGGCTCTTTAGAGCCTGTAGGTGTGTAGAATATTGGAAAAGAGGCTGAGTTTGTACAAACCTGAAAATGTTTCTGAAAGTCCTCTAAGGGCTTACTGGGTAATTCAGTAACAGAGAAAGTGATAAGGGCAAAATCTGCATTTGCTATATTTTTTCCCAGTGAAGAAAAAATAATACAAAGCTGACACGTAGGCTAAAATGTGTGGCAATGTCACAAATAGCCAAGATTACTAATACACGATTTGGTAAGGAAAAAACACCACTACATTGGCAGGGTTAATGTTTGTGTGCAACAGGCTGTATATTAATTGAACAGAATAATCATTTCAGATCACTAACCCAAGAAAACCCACAGCAAGAGAAGCATGTAAAGGGCCATCAAACGGCTCAGGAGTCTGCTAGCTTAATACTGAACACACATGGGTTATGGAAACATTTCACTCTGGGGACTAGTGTTTATGCATTTCCACTAATAACCCAATCTCAGGAGCCATGGAAGCTAGGGAGAGACCTGTCCCCTACGATGCCCTTCTAGTGTGGGGCAAATTCATACTTTCGTAAGGAGAACCCTATCACCTCAGCATCAACAAATAGCCTCTTTCTGTAACAAAGTGGGCTGTAATTTGATGAAGTCTCTTGGCTAGTTCAAACTCAGGCAGAAAAGGAACTAAGCTGGCTGGTCAGACCCAGGAACACAATGGAGAAGCAGCCACAGCTCATAGATGAGATGATCTGCAGAGATGCTCTGGCATCACAGTCCACTCCTTCACATCTGTAAAACCCAGAGATGAGAAGTCACTTAACCACAGAAGAAAAGGAAATTCTCTTCACCTTCAAACTGACTCATTTCTCAATAAACTACTAGAATCTGCATGGGCTATGAAAATTCCTGACCATTATTACATCTTGAAAGGTCACTTTCAGTTCGTCTGGTTACAGAGCAAGTTCAAATACATGGCACTTTTAGGAGTACTTCCTCTCCTGCCGTCACAGCTAGCGGGAGTATGGGTAAAACATAAAATCGTATGTAAGGACAGCTCTCTAGCATTTGCACTTCTGGCAGGTACCCACCTGTAGAGGAGTTCGATACAACCACTTTTCTTTATCAACTTTAAGCTGCATACAGGCAAAGAGATCGCAAACAGCTGGGAGGCCATATCGGTCTGGAGAAAAGTTATGTTCCTCTTGTAGGGGTGAATTAAGAAATACTTCCTGCAAGAAAACAAAAACGGTGGATTGCTTCAAGACTGACTCAACTCCAAATAGTATCTATAAAGAATAATATAGATGTTGGCCATTCTCTAATAACCAAGAGCGTATTATTGCAATTGCTATTTCTTCCCTAAGTCCTTTCTGTAAAGCAATTAAACAGGCTAAGTTTTTTCTTTCCTGGATGGGGCTTGGGGACCAGGAATGCACAAAAATAGTTCAGTTTGAGTAACTGTAAATCTTCCTCCTGTTGGTAATATGGCATCAAAATTAATACTGGAGCCAAATATAAAATTTAATATGTTCAAGGATCTGGGCCTTCTGTAAGGTATGGAATTGAGAAAGTAAAACTCAATAGGGTAATTTGGATGTCTGCTTACCTGGGCCTTCTTTCGAAGGAGCCACTTATCTTCAGAAGACTGGCTGAGGCTCCCCACCTTCTTTCCAGGCAAGACCCAGTCAGCAGTGTTAAAGGAGCACCAGGAAGTGGTCATGGGGCTTTTAAGCTTTTGTTTACCAGCCTTGTCCTCTGTATTTGGTACTTTCTTGGGGCTCCCTTCGTTGCATGAGGACCTGATGAGCCACTCTGACAAGGAGCTGTTTTTTAGGACCTGGAAGGAATCAGTAATTCTAGAAGGACCGAATGCCTTTGGTGCCTTAGTGTGTTCCGTTATCTCTTTTCTAGAAGGACAGAGCCACATGTCGAGGGACACTCTGTGATTTTCAGGCTCAGATTTGACTTCCACATGCATCCCATTTTTATCCTTTCCCTCTTTCTTCAGAAGCCATCGACACAGAGCTTCCTTCTCACAATTCTCATCACACACACACTCTGCAAAGCTTGTGCAAGGCTCATTGGCTTTGCACACTTCCTCTACTTTATATGGTTCCTGATGATTCTGGACAAGCCAATCTTCAGTAATCATGCTGGGGGTGGACAGTGGTTTCTTGGCCTCCAAGTGGTCATTCAAGCACTTCAGATTGCCCAGGTTTTCAATTTCCACACCTCTGGGCTGGTTGCCCTGACAGTTGGTACAGGAGTCAGGCTGGGCAAGCCAATCACTCACGCTGTAGGGCTCCTGGAACACTGGGAACAGGAGCTTAAACTTCTCACTGGCTTCATGGCTGCCACTCTCAGGCTTCTCCAGCTTGAAAGGCTCCTGGGGAGTTGCCAGCCAGTCAGAGAGGCCCAAGTCAACTTGATCAAGATTCTCTGGATTGCCAACCTTCTCAACTTTACTGGAGAAGGAAGTGGTAGAATGGCTCTTACGCTTTAGGGAACTTGGTTTTCCAGGAACTTCTTGTTGCTGACTCTTGAGCAGCCAGTTTTCTAAGCCCTGTAGTGTGCCCCAGACATCAGAAAAGACACTGCAGGCTCTAGCAGATGTCTACACAGGAAAGGTACAACATTAGCCAGAATAATAATGAATGTTTGGAGATCTTGTCTGCATATTTACTGTCTTGCCCAATACACACAGTACACAGTAAAGCCAAGTACACAGTAAAGCCAAGAGGCAAGGAATTTATGTTATTAAAATATGTATCTGACTACATAATTCTACTTTCTGTAGTTTTAGAAAACTGAAAAGTATAAAATGCAGAGTAAGAAAAATACTTGGAGTATTTTGATTAAAAGTTTCAGGAAGTGTGGGCAACGAATCCTCTGCTAGTGGGAATATCAACTGTTCCTCACTTCTTGAAATCTAAACTGGCAATGTTTTAAGCTTTAAAGGGTAGGTAGAACTGTCATCTAAGAATGGAATGAATGGATCAGGGATGTGCACAAATAATCTTAAAGTGTTTAGGGCAATTTCATTCATATCCAGAAAAATAAGAATTTAAGTTTTGGCCAACTGATGAATTTTAATTGAAGATTTTATAGAAATTAATGACAAATATATTTAAATTCAAATATATTGCTGGAAAAAATCTAATTTTAAAACTTTCTATCCACAGTAAAGATGTCATTTTTTTAATTAAAAATATTATTAAAAACATGTTTCCAGATTATGATTTAAAAACTAAACAAATTACTAGTCATGAACTCCATTGACTCCTACATGAACCTCAGAAACTATGAAGGCAGCAACGCACCTGGCCATTCTCTAAGCTCTGTTTGTGGCTCAGCCAGTCCTGGGGGTTGGTGCTGGGCATGAAAGGAGCCTGGAAAGCACTGGCAGGTTTGCTTCCAAGAAGCCACTCACTGAGAGGTACAGCCATGCTGCTGGGCGCTGACTTCTGCTGCTCACACTGTCGAGAGCCATTCTACATAAGTTTTGGGGAAAAATCATTTCATAATTATAAAGTATGACTATAGCTGTCTAAGGCCCAATATCACCTTGCCTGAGAGCCAGCTATGGCATGCGGAAACATAACTCTTGTTTTGCCTCCAGGTCCCAAGTTGAGGCCTCAATGATCCTGTGATACTGTGATGCTCAAGGGCAAGAGTACATCAGCTGAAGAAATCTTGGTTCTTTGAGAACAAAGTAGTAATTAAAAAAAAAGGGAAAGGTTTCACATAGGGGAAGGACAACTTCATTAGCCTGCTATTTCATCCTACTATTAAGAGAGCTCTCCTTACTGCCGTCATCAACATAAGATCCTCTCAATGTAGGATTACCGCTGTTCCTCCAGTTATACCCAATAAATAATGGCTAGCTGGGAGTGTCTTTACCCACTCTGAGTCACTGATCTCCTGGCCCCCCATATACTTTGAAATTATGTAAGTGTCTACTGTCTTATTTTTCTTTAGCCATCACTGTCCCCCTTTCTAGGCAGTTGGTGGATGGATGACCTGATCACAGGAAACCCTGCTGTTGAACAAGGCACTGTCAAGCGCAGGAGGAGTTCACCTGACTCTGCTTTGAATTATCACCTGCCCTGAGCAAGGCATGGGTTCTTCCCAAAACTAAATTTCCAGTCTTAAAACAAGGAACACAGCTGCTCTCTAGGTTTGTCTCAACTCAAAATGTCTAGGATCTATCTTTACAAACAAATTACCTCTATGAAACAGAAATTGGTCCCCAGGACAGAGACTAAACCAGTAAGACAACTAATGATAATTTACTATGAATTAATAACTGTTTTTTTCAACACAAAACAATTTGATATTCAATAATGCAAAAAAGAATTCAATTGAATAAAGTAACTCCTTACCATGGGAATAGTACGAAAAAGTGATCTGGTCAAAACTCAAAGAAAATATAATCCAAGTAATGTTTCAGTTACCAGAAACAAAACAGCATCTCACCTGCTCTGGCATTGGAATGTGACCTCTTTTCTCTAGGAAGGACCCAATGCTTGCTGAATTAGCATGAGCCATCAAATGCTCAGGGATTTGCTATAAAATGAAGACAATTTCATGGTGTTATTTATGCTAAGCTTTCCTACCAAAAAAAAAGTGAAACTAAATTTCAGAAGTCTTAAGCAGAGCATTACTGTTTTCATAGAGTATTTAAATTCAATGGTTTACAAAGAAATCAAATCTGAGAATTCCCTACTATATAATTATTACACCAGTCAGAATAGGAAGTTTCTGAAGGTTATGCCTTGAGAAAGCCTCAATTCACAGTAACAGGAGCAGCTGTGAGGCCTCAGCCAGGGTGAGCACAGTAGGAAGCATGATAACTGCACTACTCACAATGGTCTTAAGGGACCCAAATGTGGTGATGGTCTGGCGCAGAGTGGTTGTGTCAGCTTCAAAGAGCAGGACAGTTGAATCTTCAGGCTTAAGGGTCAAATTGCCTAGCCTGGGGAAAAAATACACAGGATTTCTCTATTTTCAAGAGTTATTTTAGCTACTTGGAAAACAAAAGCCAGATTGAGTTGAAGTGGTAACTTGGTTCACAAACTTAATTCTTTCCACGATTTATTTGAAATCAAATCACAAACATATTTTAAATGATTATACTTTTCTGATAGCTTAATCATATCAGCAAGTGTAAATATATAAAGCAAGATAAACTTACTGTAAGAACAGACACGTTAAATCCCAACACATGCAGTAAGTAACAAAACTGACTTTCATAGTCAAAACTAGCAAAAAGGGTCTTTACCTCTCCAGGCACACAGAAACTTGATTGGCTAGATCTTTGCTTTGGGTGCGCTCCAGTTGATGAATAAGACAATTGAACTGGCCCAAGAGCTACAAGAAAATGAAACCATGTAGCCATAATGACATTAAATAACATTAAAAGCAATTCCTAAGTTAAAAAAACAGCATTTGAGATTAAACTTTTATGTGACTTAAATTAATGCTGTATTAGCAGGAAAATATTCTCTGAGAATGTCATGCTGGAACCAAGTCTAGGCACAAAGCTGCCTTACCCAGTAGAGCTGCTGGGCCTGCTGCTGCAGTGTCTCCTCTTTAAGCTGATGGATGAGATCCACCTGTTCATACAGCCACACCTCTCGGCTCCGAAGGCACTCCAGGTGGCGGCTTATGCAGCTGTGGATCTGAGCCTTCACCTGTGGGACACATATGTTAGCTTCACTAGTGCCATAGCTCAAAGAATGACACGAAACTGCAAGAATCATAAATATCTGTGGGTCACAAATCCTTCTGATTACATGACATCCATGGAGAGCCTCATCAGGAAAACGAATACGCTCTACGTTGTGCCTATAATTTCAGATTTAAGTCCAAAAGCCCACTCATAGACCCACAAAGCCCTGTTTAAGAATCTAGCCTTAAAGGCATACTTAATCTCTAAAGTCTTCCCTCCATACTACTAATCTTCCTCTTAAGATTAGGTTTATTTTGGATGACCTAACATAATGGGAGAAAAGCTCCAAAACACCAAACCAAACAACAAAAACAAGGATATGCCAGAAGATACAGATTCCCTATTTTCCAAATAATTTAGAATATATGGCCTTGGGAGTTCATCAGTGAAAGACCGAGAGGATTAACTTAAAAGCTGGCCACGAGCAGTCCATTTGCAGCAGGCTCACATAGTAAGGACGTGCTACCACATAACAAGAGATAGAAGGCCGTTAAAGTGGACAGAGTGAATAAACTTACAAACTACATGTATAAACAGTGAATCACACAAAGGATAAATATAAAAATCCAAAGAAGAGAAACTAGCTATAAGCCGCATATGAGAATTCAAATAAGTAGCTATATTTTAAAACATTTTTTTTCTGTATAACAGGGTGTTTCAATACTTGACTAACAAGACTATTCTGATCAACCAACTTCATTCTGCCTCTTGGAATGACAAATCCAGCAAAGACGGGGCACGCTGAAGGACTACTCCTCACATATCCAGAGGATGCAGCTAAGCAGGAGACTGCTTAATACCTTGAATATTTTCATCAATGGCAGAGGACCAATTAAAAAGGCACACTGACCTACCATTGATACATAAGCTTGTTAGAGTGCTGAAAAATTACCAGTATATTTGCTGTTCATAATCTATTTGTAGATTAGGATTAAAGTGGATTTAATCCATCTTTAAAGCTGTGTGAATTTTTCTAAACAGGAACAGCCATTTGCAATATGGATTTTCATAGTGATTAAACAAATTATAACTTTTATTATTAGCAATCGATCGTTTTTTGTTTGAGACAGTGTCTCACTATGTAGTTGAGACTGACCTGGAGCTCACTATGTAGCCCAGGCTGGTCTCGAACTCACAGCAATCCTCCTGCCTCAGCATCCCGAGTGCTGGGATTACAGGCATGTGCCACCATACCCTGCTTATCATTAGCAATTGAAAGCAAATGGTCATATAGCAATGTAAAAATATACTAATGAGTATTTGGTAAATTCCAGTAAGTTTTTACCATTAGCATAATTTTGTGTTGTACAATTAACTTACAGTTCCATCTGTAATTTTGGATAATATTCAGTGGTTAACAAGTAACAAAACCTCATGCCTTCCCTCCCACAAAAAAAAAAAAAAAAAAAAAAAAATGCACACTGAATGCAGGGCTCAGGAGTGGTAAAGCACTTTCCAGGCTTCTCCACACCTGCCTTTTTCCTCTCTGGAATCAACATACCAGGCAGCAGCTGACCAGGATTAAGAGACCATGTGTGGCACAGAGCGAAACTTCATGGCTGGCACTAAGAGAAGCTTTGGCCAGGCTCTAACCAGCCCCACCCTGAATTCAGACAAAGAAACAAAAATGCACATCCAACCTCTCGTAAGTTATCTTTAATTTGCTGTTCGGCCCGGAGAACTCCACCAATAGCAAGCTCCAAGTCCCTCCTTGCATCACTACACCTCAGAAGGGGTTCTCTGATACTGGCACAGCTACTCTGGTCCTGGGTGGTGTTCATCTTGCTCACTGTTCCTTTAAAAGAGTAAAGAATAAAAATCCAGTTAGCACTATCATTGCAACCAAAATCCACCTTTTAATCATTAAATGATCATTCCAACTAGCTCCCATTACTATTTAGATTCCCTCCAACACAGGATATGTAAGTCCTCTTCCCTCCCCAGCCACCTCTGCTACAAAATTCTCTAAGTCTACTTAGTAACATTTCCTTGTGAAGAAATATTCCTGAAGAAATACACTAATAATCCCAAATCAACAGGACATATTCTCCAAAGGATTAAAAGGAACATTAATTAGAATGTAAGTTTTTGGGCTGCAGATGTGGCTGAGTAGTAGAAGCACCTGCCTAGAACATGTGAGGAATAGTTTTAGGCCCTAAGCACAACCACCACCACAAAAGGAGGTTTCTATTTGTAACACACATGATATTCAGCAGATTTAGACTAAAATGTATGGAAAGATCCATAATTACTTTGAAGCTAAGCTGCTAAACAATTATTAGAGAATTTAGAATACTGTTTAGAGCTAGCATTTGCCTACATGGATTGTGAATACAGAATTTTTTAATTTAGGAGAAACTTAGTGACTCTACACCTAGATAATATTCTTTTCAAGAATATAAATCTAATAAATTTCATATGACTACTTGGGAGGCTGAGGCAGGAAGATCCCAAGTTTGAGGCCAGCCTGGGAAACTTAGCAAAATCCAATCTCAAAATAAAAAAGGGCCCTTGGACATACAGCTCTGCAGTGGAGCACTTGCCTCACATGGATAAAGCCTTGGGTTTAATCCCCAGCACCACAAAAAAACAGTAATAATTTCAAGATATTTGGATACAAAAAAGGTATTTAGAGAAATTGGTGTGGATACAGAGGGTTCTCTGATAAGCTGAGGGTTAGGGGAGACAAGAAACAGGAATGGAAAGAAAGCACATAGTGATGTAATGACAGAGAGAAACATCTACAACCAGGAGACCGGTTTCTAAACACTGCAGCCTAGCAGGGTTCAGAGGGCTCTGGGTGTCAGGTTTTGAGAGGCACATTCCTGCCTTGCCTAATTACTCAACTATTTTCTCTGATTACCTAGGTGAAAATAAAAGGCAGCTGTTAAAATCAGAGAAAACATGGGGCTGTGACAGAAACAGATTCCAAAACAACCCTCGGTACTGTTGGTATATCTTACAATATATAAAATTTTTTTTGTACTTGAATCAGGCCAAGAGACTTTCTTTTTTAAAGCCAGGGACTAAACCTAGGGAATGCTGTTATACTTTCAGCTCTTTTTTAAAAATTTTGAGACAGGGTATCACTAAATTGCTCAGATGGCCTCAAACTTGGGATCCTCCTGTTTCACCCTCCAGGGATGCTAGGATTATAGGCAGATGCCAGCTTAATGATTTTTGTTTATGCTTTTTGAAACAGGGTCTTACGTTGTAGTCCAGGCTGGCCTGGAACTTGCAGTGATCCTCTTGCCTCAGCCCCCGAAGTGTACCACACCTGGCAATATTTGACTTTTAAACAGCAGAGATCTTTTATTGAAAGCAAGCTCTACATTGATAGCAGTGTGCTGGGTCTTAGAGAAAATTAACTTGCTTATCACTGCCCCCATGGTATTGTGTTTGTCACAGGACTAATCTGTTCTACGATTATTAGATGAAATTTGAAATTTATTTCTGGGTAACATACTTTAGAAGGGGACATTTAGAAAATGAGAAAAAGGCTCCAAAACCATGAAAAACTTCCCCAGGAAGGAAGGCTGCCTGGCCTAGATAAGAGTCTCTGGGAGGATGTGATTACTACTCTCAAATACTTGCAGAATAGAAGACTTAGGCCATGGGAGGAATGGGTTATAGGAGACATTCAGGCAATAACAAAGTACTTTCTAACAGGCTAAAAGCAATGACTATGGAGAAGCCAGCTTTACACCTCAGATCCTCCAAAGGGCTGGCTGTCCACTTGCCACAATGGGAATTGGGGCTGGCCTTGACCCCATGTAGTGGAAAGTGGAGCAGGGGGAAAGTGGTGTGGGTCCCACCTGCAGAGACAGACTGTTGGGAAGATGCAGCACTGTGGGCTTTCCTTCCAACAGCTCGCCAAAGATCCAGATGCAGGAACTGCAGAGTCCCTATGAAACTCAGTTCAGCAACTTTCTAACTTGCCCTTTTGAGTTCCTTTACTTCAGCCTGTTTCCCCACAATGACCCACCCATAAGAGAAAGGGCTTCAGAAATTGGATTTTGAGCCCTTGGGGAGATTTCCCTAAAACTGAGAGCACCAGCTGAAGTCACTCTGCTGCTCCACACTGCACCCAAGTCAGCCAGGCAAGGTAGGCTTGTTTAGTTCGTGCCTACCAAATTTCCCACTCTTAGGCCCTCACCTCGTGTGTGGAATGTCAAAGCCAGCCAAAGTGTAAAATTTAATCAAATTAAAACATTGCTTCCCAATGTCAAAAAACCCCAGAACAGAGGGAAGACAAATTCAAATGCATATGGTGTGGACCATAGCACTAGATCCCCAACAAAGTCTTCAAACTCAAGCACATGCAGCTGCCTACAAGGGTAAGGGTGAAAGCATAGTGGATGTTCTCTCCTTTATCAGCTATGGGCAGGACATGGGACGCGATCATAAAGTTACAAAACTGATTTTCCCACATTTATCATATTTTTCAAACTAAAATGAGTGCTACCTTTCAAAACAATTATCTTGTTAGAATAAGTGTCTTCAGAGCCCATTCACCAGCTAGTAAGAAAACCTGTTTCCTATCTTCTTGGCCAGTCTAGCATACTTGGCCCTTGCTGCCCGGAGCTTGGTCCCTTCTCCTCCCTGTGAAGTCACAGGGCAGTCAGCTGCCATTTGCTGATCCAGAGGAAGGAGCTATGCAAATACTTGCCCTCTAGCACTCTGTGGAGGAGGGAACCTCCAAGTCTCAAATCAACCCCACCCCAGAGGTGAGCTCAGATCACGCAGGCCCCTGTAGGGCCAGCTTCAAGATAGACTTGCAAGAGGTAACAAGATCATGTGGCCACTTCCAAGAGTAACACAACACCTATTTCAGGTCAGTGTGAGGGGCGGAAAGGACTAGAAACCACTCTGGAGTCTGAGAGAACTGAGATCTGGCTATGGCCCCATGCTTGAGACCCATGAAGTAGGAATTTAACTGTTGGCCTCACCTTCCTCTGGAAAGATAAGATACAATGACAGCAGTGTCAAAGGACACAGCAATTTAAAGATCTCATTTGGCTTCATTTTCAATCTTAGAATTGGGCAACACTTTGTTTCATAAAAGAGAATGTACGTTCCAATGGGCTGAGCTGAAGAGATTTGGTTTCACATACAGAAAAAGGCTAAAGAAAGCAGAAATAAAAAAGTCATGTTTTTAGTTAGGAGGGGACAGTGAGAACAATGATCAATCAGTTAACATCATCCTGGGTAAGGATTGTCAGGGAACTTCATTATCATACCAATTAAAACTGGCCTGTGGGAACTGTGGCTGTTCTAATTCTGACTTCTTTTGTGATTTCATCAGATCATTTCAGCTTGGTGCCGAGCAACTTTATGGTGAGCGTCTCTATTCTGTTCAGCTTTGTCAAGAGCAGCAGCTTAGTTCAAATCCATGACCTCCTTTAATTCACATTTAACAGCAGCTACACCTGAAAGACTGCATGGAGGGTAGTGTGAGGGACTACCTGTCTACAACACTCAGGCTAGCCCTGTGCACCTGTTACTTTTTCACTGCAGGTATTCTTGCTATTAAGTTTAGCTGTGTGTGGGAACTCAGCACTCTCCACCTCTGGAGGATAAAAAAGCAGCATCCATATAGGTAAGGGCTTTCAGGTGAGACAGTCCTGAATTATATGACCTTGGGTGCCATTTGCCCTTTTTGAGGCTAACTTCCCAATTTATATGTAAGGGTAACTGTACTGAGTTGGACTTGGGAAAGATGGTAGCGTTTATTGAATAAATGACAGCTCCCCACTTGGCCTTTCACCATTCCACACAGTAAAAGGCAGGTCACTAAGGGTAGTAAAGGGCTAAAATTCAAATCTAAATCAGTGTTGGTGAACTTTTTAGAGTTTTCAATGATACAAACAGCCTGGTGTCTTATGTGTGTGCCATAGGTTGCCACTACTGGATTCTAAACGCTCTAATATATACTAAATATTGTATGCTTTTGTCTGTTTCTTACCTGTACAGACACATAAGCTTTAATTCTAAAATTCAATTAAGCTACTAAAAAATGTCTTTATCTTCACCTTCATAATCCAAAGCACAGCCCTTGCATCTCCCAGTAAGGATTGTCTTAAATGTTTACTTTTTGAAATGAAGTTCACTGCTTTCTAAAATGTCTCTCTTTCTAGGAGCTCTGTCCTAAGTTTTACAGTAGGCAAAAATGTAAAGAAGGGGGAGAGAAACACACATTCCTCGAACAAGTAACATGACCGTGTGTTTCTTTACAGGAGGGAGTTCTACAAACCGCACAAAGCATACTTTGACAATGATTATGAAGTACGAAAATCTTGGAGCATAAGTGAACAACTTACCACAACTGAAGCTAAGTCATTATCAGTTAAACCACAAAATGACTAAAATGCTATAACCCACTTGGGACCCACACAAATCACAATTTAAATTGAAAAAACTAGCTTGGAGATGTAGCTCAGTGGCTGAGTGTGAAAGGTGCTGGGTTCCAGCCTCTGCACCAGAAATAATGTTAAAACATTGTAAAAACCTTAGGTTTGTGTGTAGTACACCATTCACAGTTGGTACCAAAGGCCCACATAGTTTGAGGACCCTTTTAAATGGTCACAGCCCCAAGGGTAAGATATGGGTTGGGAAGGAAGGCTCCTAAGGTCTAGTCCTGGGTTCACTCTCCAGGTGGGCTCGTTCTTCCTGCAGTGCATTCTTAGCCATAAATTATTTTTATTTGCCAACGCTGGGGTTGAAAATTAACATCCCAGTGGTTGCCACTGAGTAGCTCCCACAGTTTCTCAGTCACTGTTCCTGTCCACCTTACATTACAAGCACGGTTCTCCAGGACTGTGGGTAACTGCCTGGTGTTGTTTGGGTACACTGCGGACCCGCACGGCGCAGATGTGGGATGTCATCCTAGACTCCCGGAAGCTACAGGCTGCCAAGTGCCAGTCTAGAGAGCTAGAAGGGCAGGCCCTCGCCGCCGCGCCTCCTCTTCTGCGTCCCCTGAGCCCCCGCCCGCTGCACACAGGCTGACCTCTCACAACGTTATGTTGAGATACGGAAAGCTCCACTCCTCCAGTCACTTAATGAAACAGAAAGGCCTCTTCGGAACACCCATGTCCGCCCGGAGGCCACGCAGCTAGGACCCCAGTCGCCGTAGCTCTCCCTCCGCAGCTGGCGACTGGGCCTTCGACCTCAGCACCGCGAGGGCAGGTAGACGGACAGAACTTGAGACCTACCTGGAGAGGCCGGCCAGACCGCGGCACGACGGTTCAAAAACTAGAAGACTGACGTGAAGTGACCAGGTTCTACGGCGGTATCAACGGTGCCGCGCAAGGTCGGGACTGACTCCTGGGCTTGCCTGAGTCGCCCAAACGCGTCCTTTATCCCCTCGGCCCGGACAGCTAAAGGTGGGCGGCGCGCGCACGGCGGAAGAGGCGGCGCGCAAGGCGGAGGAAAGGG